AATGTACTTTACACCCTTTAGACTGCCTCTGAACCAAGGCAGCACATGTCTATAGAGAAAATGACGAAGTATTCTCTTGATGAAAATGGACAATATTGGTTACCTGCTAACACCAATTATCGCCACCTGTAAGGGCCGACTCTTTCCCTGCATAAACGGTGTCGACTTTGGGGAATCATGCCCTCTCCTTTGGCACTGCTTAGAGGTCGGCAGCGATCCAACATCAGAAGACCTTCACTGCCGTCACAATACCAAAAGTCGGCATATCTCATAACTTCAATGATAAGCGAGATAAGAACATTCTTGTGATGAATCGGCCATGATCAAGGTATCAGGCCTCCCAACTATTAATGACAAATAGTATTATTGTGAGAATGTACTCTTCCAAAAAGGTTGAGCAACCGCTAGCCAATATCACATTAATCAGCTAAGGCAACTGTGTGGCAATACCAAGACTAAACGCCGTGGTAAACATCACTTAAAGTGTGTTGTTTCACCAGAATAGTGCACCTGTTCACAGGTGTGGCCGCAATGGCTGTACTGCAAGGCTTTGATTTCATATCACATGCCCCACAATTATCACATACGTCAGATGCCAAACGTGAAGAAAGAGCAGTTGAGCAAGGAGGACCTTTACCCCACCACCAATGACGCCTTCAACACCAGACACTCCAGCACAGTTGGCAGAAACGCGCGGACCTCGGAGGGGCTCAGGTTGAAAATTTATGTACCGAGGTAAAATTTGCCGACCTTCGCTATAATTTTGTCTCTCGACTGTTGCGCCACCAGTGACTACGGTGAGCTGTGTCCGTTCTATGTCCATCCTACTGACCAATATAGTTTCTCTCTTTATGTCACTGGCATTTGATTTTTAAACAAATACAAAAACAGTCAAGACGATCTGATGATACTCAAGACCTATAGAGAAATAATAGAAATACTATGGGTCATTCCTCGCGGAGAGCATCAGATCACTTCAGCACTTGTGGATAAGACACGAAAACATCTGCCGACGTTCTGATGTCCAGATGTGCCAGTGCTGCCATGTTGTTTCGAACCAGATGTCAATTCCACGATTTGGGTTTGACTAAGCCGGGACTCGAAAGGTTAGCTAAACTATAACTCCACTGAACGTCAGCTGTCATCCCTGCCTCTAGAAGAGGAATGCAAACAGGAAAAACGAACACGTATTCACTTAACTACTGCAATGGAATAGTTACAAAGCAGGTTGTTTCATAACTGGACCTCGTTTCTTGAATGAAATAAGGATACACGGATATACATTGGGAAGGTGCAACACCTACTCGCATGTTAACTGGGCCCTTGTCAGTGTCCTAGGTTTGTCAGATACAAGATGATCCGTACCTAACGAAAATGTCTCACTCGTCATATTCGTACCTGTTTCGGAGCATTTGTACCTTTTTTGGTCGACCCGTACCCAACTAAACATGATTCGTACACACATTTGTTTGATTCTCGCGTTAATTTGGATGATGTGTACCCGAATTTGGATGACCGATTGTACTTTGTGTACAGTCCGCTAAATGATATTGTGTACGAATTGTCCAGTTGCCTTTATGCAAGTGTCAGTGTAACGACAGGAACGTTCAGTTTAATCAACTTGGTTCTGTTGGCGCGCAAATCAGCACCTCAGCCTGTGGCGCCTTAGAACACTGGGCTAAGATTCGCAAATGGAGTATTGAACACAGAAAGACAAGAAAAGTTCAATGACATTTATTGTGATACTGATGACAAAATGATAATGGCAGATCACGCAGTCTGGTAATGATCACATTCATAGAAAAATACTCTCTTACACTCTAAAATGTCGTAGCAAAAACAGTCAACAACGTGCGTCGTTTGATTCATGGTACAAACTTGAGTTGGCAGCAATAACCAGCTCGAAGACACCAGAGACAACCAGAAAACTAACCGACTAACTTTATGTGTAACTTCTGGTCTTCCCTGGCCTCGCCTGACAAGAGGCTATCATTGAGAAAATCAAGATACATATGTTTTTGTTTCTGTTTTTGACATTATCAACTCCTTGTATCTTTCTGAGATCCTGGCTCTATCTATTTATGACTCATGCGAACATATCACATGACACTTGCGTCACATTTTGGTTGGTTGGTAAGCGAACCTGACCACCCGATTCCGTCAGTCGCCTCTTACGACAAGCATGGGTTGGTTACTGACGACCAATTTTAACCCGGATCTTCACGGGTCGTGTCACACTTTTTCCCTACATCTGCATGGTACACACGTGATTATAACCTTATAGGATTAAACTGGAAGATAACCAAAGACAAAAACCTCAGATGACACGTGATCATGTTCATTCAAACATTGTAATGTCAAAAACACGTTGCTGATACGATTGTCTATGTAGCACTACTATGTTCACAATGATGAATCGGCCAGGGTGACAGCCAGGATGAACCACATACACAAGGACTGTACTGTTACATCTAGGTTGGTTCATGTACAGGACACACAGATGATAAATCACTTGCTTTATACACAACTGGTCATGGTAACAAAGCATGCTTATAAATAGAGTAACCTATGTAAAATCACACAATGCCCTCTTTAATGTTGACGGATGTACACATACATATATCTAAATACAAACACCTTCGTGGGATTCCTGTTAATACCCCACCCCAACCCACCCCCTCCCCTGTGACAACTCATACTGGTGACATGTATAAACACAAGCATATGTGTTAACAGACTGATTATAAATGCCATAATCAGCAATATTCCCCGTGTATAACTGAAGCTTGAAAATAACCTGGTGAAGACCAAACTATCCTCAGCCATCCAATTCCCACATCTAACTGGTTACATCATCAATTTACTCGACCCCCATCCTGAGACCTAAAATACCTGGGCAGAAACATTGATCGATTCATACTTCTATGACGCTGGACACTTCTACCTGAACCTCTACAAACTACATGGTAACAATGACTATGATGTTTGTGACGTCCAATTAAACCACATTTACACAAATACACACCTCATATTCTCTTTCAACAGCAATCTTTTTCACAAACACAATTCCACATGGCATGTATTTCAAATGACACAAATCAGCCAGATAAATGTGCAAAAGGTTGATTTGAGCATGTTGTAAGCCCAGAGCACTGAAGGATGAAGAGGCTTACACAGACAAGGGATGCTACTCTGCACTGAACTTGATTGCAGGCAATTCGAGATACATGTCCTCAAAGTCTTGAAGACCTATGTAAGACGTAAAATTTAAATTAAATTATTCTCAGTAAACCCAGTGTTATAACTTGCAGATATGATTTCAACCTGGGACACAAAATAAGGCTTATAACCACATCCCTTGGTATGAGAAGATTCTGGAATGACATACTCACATCATACATTGGGCGACAAGATCAGCAACATTTTACTGAGGTTGTATTCGCTTACCCTTGGTGAAGCTGACACTGTACCTTCTCCAAACTGTATTTATAAACTTTATCTGACATCCCTGGACTTACCAACCTTGTCATCCTCAATTTCAAAAGATAACACCAACAAATGAAGATGTTCAGTTTTCTGAAAATGGCCACTCAATCTCCATTTCCTTGACATGTTTGCTGAGGAAAGTGTTGACACATTTTTACACATGCTCATGAAAGGTTGTAAACAAGTTTCATTAAAATCACATCATCCACTGTAACACAGCACCAATCTGTAAAAGAGATCTTGTCACATGCTACAAATCTGATTTTAATGTTATTGTTTATTCTAACATGATACCTCAATGTCTAGGGAGAGCAGACAAAACATTTAATAAAGTCAGGGAAATGATGTAAACCACACTTCCAAAATTACTCAATCAATGAGAGGACAAATGAAATGTGTGACTGTTTTGTGGAGTAATATTGAATGTGAGCTGTTTTAGACAAGTATAAATCTAATTGATTCAAAATCATGAAGACAAATGTCCATAAAGAGCAAGAAGGATGCAGAGTTTTCCTGAAGATGCAGTGGATGTATTTTGAGTTTTGAATTGGAAACGAAATATTAAGACAATGCCAGAAAGGACAGACCCTAAGAAGACATGATGGAAGAACGGTAGCTTGTTACAAATCCTGAAGCCTGATCTAGGAACTCAGGCTTCATCTCAAGGCCCTTATAACATTTTACAGTATTTTCAGGCAACAAATCACTGATGAATGGGTGTGATCTGAGGTAGAAGGAAAACACAAGCTCTACACAAATTGGCAAGGACTCTCCAGTACATTTCATCTTTTGAATCTGTTCACGTTACTGTTGGCTCTGGAGGAAGCCACATTCAATATAGGAAACAATCATATCTCCATTTGCACATTGTGATGCTAATACTCACAGACATCTTACTTTAGAACTCATCAACATGACATCTATTTGACAAAACCTAATGTATGGTAACATAGAAACACAACAAGGGTAAGAAAGATACACAACAGCGATGAGGTACACACCCAGCCAACAAGTCTACATGGAGGCAATTCTCTGTACCCTGTAAAATATTACAGGCTGAACAACCATCCCACTGTTGGAATCCTGGATCAAGCCATGTTGACAAGCTTCAGGAGCAGGTGACACCCATTGTCCATCTGTACCCGGCGTTCCCTGGCGTACTGGCACTCAGGATAACAATGGCCTAAAGTGTATGTTCAGGTGTCAAGCCTGTGTTTCTTCAGCACTCATGACAACAGTGAAGTATGATGAGTGTGTACAGATGGATACACATCACATGATGGCAACATCTTGTTTTCTGTGACACTCATGACAGCAACGACTTTCGTCTGTGTACTGGTGTACCTGGGCAATGATGCAGCAGTTATACCGGTTAGCTCTTGAAGTCCTCAGTGTAAATGACATTCACACACCAAGTGCATTTGTCTTTCCAAATGTGTTCCTCTTTTCCCATTGCTCCAGCACCCTGTTTGTGGAGACTGTTTCTAGAGCAGCCTGCTCTTTTCCGATTGCCCCAGCACCCGGTTTGTGGAGACAGTGTTTCTAGAGCAGCCTGCACTTTACCCATTGCTCCAACACCTTGTTTGTGGAGACAGTGTTTCTAGAGCAGCCTGCCGCGGCACTGAGAGGAGCCACAGTAGCAGTACAGCACCTTGTCAGGGACACTACCCACTTCATAGTTGTAGTCCCAGGTGAGCTCGGTCCCCGCACGGATATACCTGCAATAAACAGGCAGACATGCTAACACAGCACAAACTGGTGTCAGAATAATGGGGTGGCTCCAGTTTACTGCTTAGATATGTGGAAGACATGGTAAAGGTGATGCTGTAAATGATGGTGTGAGTGACGGTGTAAGTGACAGTGTGAGTGACGACATAAGTGATAGTGTGAGCAATGGTGTACGCAGTTGTGTATGTTAAAGAGTGTGCTTACTGTCTGGCAAAGAAGGTCACCCGATGGGAAACAGAGGTCCTGTGGAAGTGATGGTGTACACATTTGTGTATGTTAAAGAGTGTACTTACTGTCTGGCAAAGAAGGTCACCGATGGGAAACAGAGGTCCTGTGGAAGTGATGGTGTACGCAGTTGTGTATGTTAAAGAGTGTACTTACTGTCTGGCAAAGAAGGCCACCCATGGGAAACAGAGGTCCTGTGGAAGTGATGGTGTACGCAGTTGTGTATGTTATAGAGTGTACTTACTGTCTGTCAAAGAAGGTCACCGATGGGAAACAGAGGTCCTGTGGAAGTGATGGTGTAAATGGTTGTGTATGTTAAAGAGTGTACTTACTGTCTGTCAAAGAAGGCCACCCATGGGAAACAGAGGTCCTGTGGAAGTGATGGTGTACGCAGTTGTGTATGTTAAAGAGTGTACTTACTGTCTGGCAAAGAAGGCCACCCATGGGAAAAAAAGGTCCTGTGGAAGTGATGGTGTACGCAGTTGTGTATGTTATAGAGTGTACTTACTGTCTGGCAAAGAAGGCCACCCATGGGAAACAGAGGTCCTGTGGAAGTGATGGTGTAAATGGTTGTGTATGTTAAAGAGTGTACTTACTGTCTGGCAAAGAAGACCACCCATGGGAAATGGAGGTCCTGTGGAAGTGATGGTGTAAATGGTTGTGTATGTTATAGAGTGTACTTACTGTCCAGCAAAGAAGACCACCCATGGACCGCCCATGGGAAACGAAGGCCCTGTGTAAGAGATGGTGTATATGGTTGTGTATGTAATAGAGTGTACTTACTGTCCAGCAAAGAAGGCCACCCATGGGAAACGGAGGTCCTGTGTGTCCACAAACACATTCTGTACAAACACTCGTTCGGACTGCAGCTGTGCTGTAAACAGATGAGTTAACCGTGAAGCAAATTTTTGCTAACAATACCAGTTATGAGAATAGGCTGTGTTCAAAGCCCGAAATATCTATCTTTTAAAATGTTGCTCATTACTCATGTTGTTACTAGTCAGTTGCTACTACAGTCATGTTGCTACTACAGTCATGTTGCTACTACAGTCATGTTGCTACTACAGTCATGTTGCTACTACAGTCAGCTGCTACTACTCATGTTGTTACTACAGTCATGTTGCTACTACAGTCAGTCATGTTGTTACTACAGTCATATTGTTACTATGGTCATGTTGCTACTACAGTCATGTTGTTACTTATAGTCATGTTGCTGCTACGGTCATACAGTACAGTCATGTTGTTACTACTACAGTCATGTTGTTACTATGTTGTCATATTGCTACTATACAGGTCATGTTGCTACTACTACTAGTCATGTTGCTACTACAGTCATGTTGCTACTACAGTCATGTAGTCATGTTTACTACGGTCATGTTGCTACTACAGTCATATTGTTGCTACTACAGTCATGTTGCTACTACAGTCATGTTGCTACTACAGTCATGTTGCTACTACAGTCATGCTGTTACTACAGTCATATTGTTACTATGGTTATGTTGCTATTACAGTCATGTTGCTACTACAGTCATGCTGTTACTACAGTCATATTGTTACTATGCTCATGTTGCTACTACAGGCATGTTGCTACTACAGTCATGCTGTTACTACAGTCATATTGTTACTATGGTTATGTTGCTACTACAGTCATGTTGCTACTACAGTCATGCTGTTACTACAGTCATATTGTTCATGCTGCTACTACAGTCATATTGTTACTATGGTCATGTTGCTACTACAGTCATGTAGTTGCTACAGTCATGCTGTTACTAGTCATATTGTGACTATGGTTATGTTGCTACTACAGGCATGTTGCTACTACAGTCATGCTTTTACTACAGTCATATTGTTACTATGGTTATGTTGCTACTACAGTCATGCTGTTACTACAGTCATATTGCTACCATGGTCATGTTGCTACTACAGTCATGTTGTTACTACAGTCATATTGTTACTATGGTCATGTTGCTACTATTGTTTGGCATGAAATGCATGTGGACCCGTTTTTTTGTAAATATCTCTTCATCCAATGACCCAATCGATTTTGTGCATTTGTATTAAAGAATCTGTCTATGTAACTGTCAACAAAATAAACAGCAGAACGCAGACGGCTTGCAGAGGGAGGGAGCCAATGACCTGTAACAGCGGCAGTGTTGGGTCATAAAGGTCAATGTTCGTCAATGTAGGCCAGCTATGCACGTGACAGGTTTGAAGAGGTGTTCATTTCTAGCAAATAGCCTACATCGATTGGGTCATTGGATGAAGAGATATTTACAAAAAACGGGTCCACATGCATTTCATGCCAAACTATAGTCATGTTGCTACTGCAGTCATGTTGCTACTAGTCATGTTGCTACTACAGTCATGTAGCTGCTACAGTCATGTTGCTACTACAGTCATGTTGTTACTACAGTCATGTTGCTACTAGTCATGTTGCTACTACAGTCATGTTGTTACTAGTCATGTTGTTACTACAGTCATGTTGCTACTAGTCATGTAGCTACTAGTCATGTTGTTACTACAGTCAAGTAGCTACTAGTCATGTTGCTACTACAGTCATGTTGTTACTACAGTCATATTGTTACTACAGTCATGTTACTACAGTCATGTTGTTACTAGTCATGTTGCTACTAGTCATGTTGCTAATACAGTCATGGTGGTACTAGTCATGTAGCTGCTACAGTCATGCTGCTACTTCAGTCATGTTGCTACTACAGTCATGTTGTTACTACAGTCATGTAGTTAATACAGTCATCATCTCTCACTGCTACATTTAGGTCATTACTACAGTGATCTCTCTGCTATTCCCAATTGACTTAGTCCCTCCCACTTTGACATAACCTCCTCTAACATATATCTACGCACGTTGAGGTATCGGCCGATATTGCCCATGGACTTGGCATCCATGATATAGCAGGTCTGACCATCACGGAAGTAGAAGCGGGTCCCGGGCCGCTGATCCTGACTCTCCCTCTTCTCTCCTGCCAAGCACAAAATGCACCACGTGCTAAACAGAGTACAAAACCTTGCATGCTAAACAGCAGCAACATTACACACTATGTGCTCCACAGTGGCTACATAGCACACCATGTGCTACACAGCAGCAACATAACACACCATGTGCTCCACAACAGCTATGCAACATACCATGTGCTCCACAGCAGCTATGCAACACACCATGTGCTACACAGCAGCTATGCAACACACCATGTGCTACACAGCAGCTATTCAACACCATGTGCTCCACAGCAGCTATGCAACACACCATGTGCTCCACAGCGGCTATGCAACACACCATGTGCTACACAACGGCTATGCAACCCACCATGTGCTCCACAGCTGCTATGCAACACACCATGTGCTCCACAGCGGCTATGCAACACACCATGTGCTACACAGCGGCTATGCAACACACCATGTGCTACACAGCGGCTATGCAACACATCATGTGCTACACAGCAGCTATGCAACACACCATGTGCTACACAGCAGCTATGCAACACACCATGTGCTCCACAGCGGCTATGCAACACACCATGTGCTACACAGCGGCTATGCAACACACCATGTGCACAGCAGCTATGCAACACACCATGTGCTACACAGCAGCTATGCAACACACCATGTGCTCCACAGCGGCTATGCAACACACCATGTACTCCACAGCGGCTATGCAACACACCATGTGCTACACAGCGGCTATGCAACACATCATGTGCTACACAGCAGCTATGCAACACACCATGTGCTACACAGCGGCTATGCAACACACCATGTGCTACACAGCAGCTATGCAACACACCATGTGCTACACAGCAGCTATGCAACACATCATGTGCTACACAGCAGCTATGCAACACACCATGTGCTACACAGCAGCTATGCAACACACCATGTGCTATGCAGCAGCAAGCTAGAATGGGCCAATTTCTATCTCATTAACAAAAGATCTGTTACACAAAATTATACAATGTCAAATTAATTTATATGAGGTAATAAGACTTCAGTTGCAACAATAAGGAGATAAATATTTATGCATTTGTGAATTACAAAAGCTCAGTTGATGAGAACATTGTAAAGACAATGTCACACAAGAGCAAGACTCTCTGGAGCCTACATTCATGATGGTGAGTATGGCTTTACACTGCTTTCAGCAATCTCTATGCCATATCACAGCAGGGGGCACCAGAAATAGGTGCTCACATATTGAGCTCATGTGGGATGTAGGGCATTCATTGTGACAAGCTAATGATTTAAGACCTAGCAATCTCACATACCCTATAACCAGGATATGATTGAAACAACGCTGGAATGAAATGCAATGCATAATGAGATGAGAGAACACAACACTTAAACAGAACATGTCATCCAAGTTCACTCTCATACCCAAACTGCTGCACTTGGTAACAACACCAACAATCTGGACTGACGTTATCTAAGTGACCTTTACTTTCATACTGTGATACTATTTTTATAAACATAGAAAGTGTTCAAATGGAACATATGTTACCTTTGGGATTACATTTTCTCAGTAAAGTAAAAACAAGTAATCCAAAATATCACATGTCACATTTAACCACTCTCAGAAGGGAATTGTGCTTTCACAGCTTTTGGACATATGAGCAGTGCCAGTTTACACTTGTCAAAGGGTTGCATAAAGTATGTCATCTGTACTACTAGCTGTAAGATTCCTTTTTTGTGAGAACAGCATGGGTTAGATCACCGACTTTGTGTGCCTCCCTCTAAGAGTGGTGGTTCGAATCCTGGATGCAACTCAACCCCAATAAGAACAAGCATCTGTACTTTAATCATAAACTTGAATATATGTATCCATTGCAGATACCAAGATCACTGTAACAATGGACCCCTCAGTGGTGTGTTGACGATGCATAGAGCCACTGAGGAATTTATTCTACATGATTTGAAATATGTGACTGAACTTAGATGACAGAAATGATGGTGATGATGGTGATGATGGGTAGTGATTACAACAACGATGTCAAAGGTGCAAAATCAGATTTTGTATATATTCTATTTGTTTTGTTCATATTCTTACATGGTCAACACTGCAATAAAATCTTTCTGATACCATTAACATGGACAGCTCTTGGCACACAACATGCAAGATGAATTTTGTAGTCATACTCTCTTTCATAAAATGTATATTTCAAAATGCTTGTTAACATTGTTGTATTAAACACAATGACAAAATCCTCCATTTTTGTAAAAATCCAAATTTAAAGCAAAATATCAGTTTTTGACAAATATACCTGCCACATTTTGGGAACATATCAAGTATGTTTTGTTTGCAAGCTTAGACAATGTATATGTTTTAGAAAGGGGTGTTTAGCTGCCTTTTGTGTACTGACATACTGGGACAACCCTTGGCTTGTAGGTTTTGTATACACTGGTAAATGTTCATGAATTTCATCAAGATATGGAGATGTGATGTTGCACCTTTAACAAGAAGAATGAGGTATGTAGAGGGCATTAGGAACACAATGAACAATAGTAGGACAAGGAATCAGGTAACCTACTGTCTGATATAACAAATATAGCCTCCGCTGACAGAATATATATCTTTACACTTACATGCATCTACCCTTTCTATTCTCAGTTAGATTGAAACTTTACATCAACATCTGCGATTGTTGTTATGTCACCCAGTCCTGGAGTCGTGGAGTGACTGTGACGCAGTAAGTACACTTCCAGCTACATTACTGTGGAAGGTATCAAGACTGGACCATGCAAACCAGCAACTGACCACATGAACAATGGTTCTGCTACGCTGGCACAATGACATGGAATAACCCAGGTGACAGACCAACTGACTATCCTATCCAACTTGGTGGCACAATGACACACAGTAACCAAGGTAACAAACCAACTGTCCATCTGATTCAAATTAGCAACACTTTATGATAAGCAATAGGTTGCTTGGGACAGCTTCTGAACAGAAAGTGAGTGAGTCGGGTTATGTCAGCCTCAGCAACCACATCACAGAGGGTGAAGGACACCATGACCAAACCCTTCAACCACAAGCCCAACCCATGGCAGGTTTCGAGGAATAAAATAAAGACTGAAGTACAAAATGTAACAATTTAACATTCTCCAACTCAACAAAGACTGTTCAGGTCATGAGGTGATCACATAAATTAAGTCCACTAGAAGGTGAGTGAGTAAGTATGGGTTTATGCCGCTTTTAGCAATATTCCAGCAACATCACGGCGGAGGACACCAGAAATGGGCTTCACACATTGTACCCATGTGGGGAATCGAACCCGGGTCTTCGGCATGACGAGCGGCTGCTTCAACCATTAGGCTACCCCACAACCCCTCCACTAGAAGGTACAGCTGTTGTACTTTCTTACCACTTTCATGTTAATACTGCCCTATACTGCCATATACGTTTCATCCATGCTTGTCCCACAGGAGCAAAATTGGTAAAAAACAGAACAATATGAATACATGTTAAGCACCAGTAGCTTTAAACTTGTTAGACTTTCACACAAACTGTCACCATTTAACACAGCAAGTTGACCAATCCAAAGAGAGTTAAGTAACTACAGGTTAGCTGTCCTCACACCACTCCATGCACCGGCAGAGTGCCAGGCACTGTGGAGTGTGGAGTTCCACTACCAACTAGAGAGGCAAGATAGGTGTTATGTTGACGAAGAGCTCCAAGTGCGAAGAATCCACAACGGAAGGTGTTTCCCAGAAGGAGGAGAGAGATGTATGTAAATCTGACTGACCGGCAGTTGGGGTACTCTCTGACTCACGTGTCTTACTGTCATCACCCTTGCGCCCCATCTGAGCTCGAGGGTTCGGTAAGTTCTTAAACCGAGAACCACCAGTGCTTTTCCTGGCTGAAATAAACAAATAACAAACAACTCATTTCATGAAGGCCAAATATAAAATGAGAAATCTCACTACAAAAAGATCTTTACTGCTTAGCAGGTATTCTCAGGTAAAGCTTGAACAAACAGCAAAATATATACAAAGGCTGTTGTAATGTTGTAATGATGTTGGATGTGTAATACAGAATTGCAAATACAATCTGTAAAAACTTTGAAAATGATTTGCTGCACCAAGTAAATATGCATAAGTTGACAAACTTGCTAGAAAACGGACCAAAAGAAAACAAAGCAGGAAAAATGAGGAAGCTAAACTCAAGAATTTAGCATTTTCTGAATTAAGGTTTTTGTGGGCGGTATGTCTTAAGACTCAAGGAATACATGTTTTTATCCAACATCAATCTTTTGAACTTGTCCCCAAGCATCCCCAGATAAATGACATCTCCATGCATCTGTGGCTAAAGTTTGGTACAGAGTGCCAATATTAGTAATTCTAACAAATCAGGACACTGGGTCAAACAGTGAGTGAGTGAGTTAAAATTTATCGTCACATCGGCAATATTTCAGCCATATCGTGACGAGAACAATTAATTTTATACATAGTAATTAATGGTTAATTGTAGAAACCTGTCAACAAAGGACAGTAAAATAACTAGACTATCACAGATTCGAATTTAAAACTAGTAATTAAATCTAAAACAGTTTAACTATAGATGGCAATACAAGGTAAAAACAGGCTATATATTGCCAACAACTGAAGGTAGATCACCATACTAGGGACCATGGGGACTTACAGTACATTTGCTTCCTGTATGGCCCCTAGCTGGATTTACATCATCCCTTCAGCTATTAGCAATTTTAGATAATCAAGCCACAAATTAAACGAACATTTATTCTACGATTAAAATGGCAGTAGATGTAAATTTACTTTGAATGTTTTGGGACTTACGTACCCTCTCAGGAGGACAATAATTTTACAGTCCTTTAACCCCCTTTGAGGGTACAGCCACTCACAATCTAAGTTACTAATCTAAACTACATATCATTAAAATACATCTATCTTCAGAACATATTAATGAAAATTCATTAATGAAATCAATTTCTTTAAAAAAAAAAAAGAATTAAATGAATAAATTAAAAAGATCCTTAACAATTTTAACATTGAAATATTTATCCCTTATGATGGGTCAAACAAAAGACTTAAACCAGGTATACACTCATCTCTTGAGCATTGCCCTTGTGTGGTGGCAGTCAGCGCTATATAAATACTCTTATTGTTATTATCTTCACTCACCTCGACCAAGAAGTTTCTCATTTTTCTGAGGCTCAGTCTCTGAATCAGTTTCTTCTTTCACATCTGAAATAATACAGCAACAGTACGTTCACTGTTCTTGTCTGACACACGACTCAGCAATATTCCAGCTATAGGACAAGTACACAGTAAACATTCAAGTCTGGACCAGAATATCCAGTGATGCTATAAGCAACAAGCAGCTAAGCTACAATGACATGAGCCTGTCCACCAGATCCATCCCGTCACCATGTATCACAAGCACATGTTGCTGGGGACCAATCTGACTTGAGTGAGTTTAGTTTTACACCGCTTTTAACAAATATTCCAGCAATATCACGGTGGGGGACCCCAAAATGGGCTTCACGCATTGTACCCATGTGAGGAATCAAACTCAGGTCTTCAGTGTGATGAATGGACACTTTAACCACTAGGCTACCTCATCGGCCCGACCAATCTGAACCCAGAATCCTCACAGAGATATCATAAGAGTATTCATTGTATGCCAATAAGGTTGAAAAATCAAGTATAGGCTCTCTTTTTGTTCAGTCTAAGTAAACTTAGGCTCAGTATTATTCATTACACTGCTATACTGAGTCTAAATAACCCTAGTAGAAGGTCACATGTTTTTTGTTATATTTGTCTTGTACCAAAACAAAAGATACTGACACAAGAGTAAACTATAGGTTGAAGTAAAGTACATGAACTGAGTGTTTTGGGTGTACCACTTCTTATGTCAGCTTAACGTATGAGGAAAGCCCAGTGTGACGGATGATAAGATGCTGGCAAACCATGAAGCATACACAATGCAATAGATTCCTGGTACACCCAAGGGAAGCAGCTCTTTGTGCAACAGTGCCACCCAGTACCAACACCTATTTACAGATGTCAAGTGTTGATAATAGTTGTTAGCTGAGATCCTTGAACTGAAGATAGGCATTGCACGCTCACCATGAAAGGAAGGTCAGACCATGTTAAAAGTTTATCATGATTCTACAGTATTCAAAGTTACTTCATCGAAACTTATCTGAATTTTTAGTAATGAAAACAAAGGTGTTGGCAATGGTTATTGCACACAAGAAATAATGTTACAATTGATATCAAATCAAACACTGCACCCAATATACAAGTGTATAGTTTCATGTATTTGTCTTTTGTCACTATTTGCAACAATAAGGACAGCTGTATCCGTCCATGGAACAAGACATAGAGGATACTAAACGACCTTCCGTGTAATACTATGTTTATTTAATGAGTTAATGATTTGGTATCAAACAAGCGAAAGCGAGTTTGATACTAAATCTTTCACGCATTTAATAAAAATGGTGTTTCGCAGAAGCAAGTTTAGTATTCTGTTTATTACTCTCCAACATAAACTGATAGAAACTGCCTACTAACTGTGTTGACTTTCAGCTTTCCGCAAGTCAAGCAAGGGCTAATACCATTGTGACAGAGGTATTAGCATTGTGACGTCATACGTGTAGCGGCATTACACTGGTGTAATATTGATGTAAAAATATTACACTGCAGTATCTTCCACAGGTGTGTAATAAAACAGAATATCCAAAGAAGATCAATGTTGAGATATATATATACCCACATGTTCCATAGAATAACACTGTAAACAAATCTAGTCCTGATGAAGAAAACAGCTTATTCCTATCTATTCACTTCTGTAACTAAACGCTATCAAATCACACATACATCCAATACAGAAATATAAACTGAAATAGAACTCAAATACCATCACTGATAAACTGATTAACTATGTTATTATATACAAATATTTCTATGTTAATCATGTTAGTTAAGCACCCAGAATTTCTTCCAAGCCACCTTGCAGAAGACCCTGTTAGCTTTTGTCAAAATTGTATATCATCAAAGTCAGCAATACAATACACATCCATTATTCCCAAGTGGTTTTAACAATTTCATCAATTGCCTGCAGGTTCCACATGTTGCTCAGACTAGCTAAACTAGCGACCAGTAGTGGTGACACTCTACACGAGACCACTACATATCCACATGGTGCTGACAGCTAAACTAGCTACACAGTGTGGTGCCACTACATATCCACATGCAGGATGAAATGATAATATCTATATTACATCACTACAAAGACAACAGTTAAATGGGGAAACTATGACACTGTCACACATACATGTACAAAGAAAGATTAAAATAACACAGAGAATTTTGATATGCTATGTTCCTTAAAACATTATCATATCTAATGTTACATAATGTTAAAGACAAAAAATTAGAATCAATGCAAATACCAAGCACTGTCCTATCATAGTTTGAATCACTGAAATTTAACTTAAGTGTTGTGTGCATGAAATATTTAACAAATCTATTCATATAAGATAAACAGTCGAAGTTCAGATTGCCTGTGTCCAATGTTTTTCACAAATCAGGTTTCAAATTGTGAAAATCTCAATCTGCACGCATTTCAGTTCTCCAGAGCATTGCAGGGATATGAAGTCAATTTCCCACCACCAAATCTAATATCTAAACCGGATCTAATCAGGAGACAGTTCTAAAACATTACACTACATTACCGCTGTATCTGACTGACTGACTGACTGAGTTTGGTTTTACGCCGCTTTTAGCAATATTCCAGCAACATCACGGCAGGGGACACCAGAAAATGGGCTTCACACATTTTACCCATGTGGGGATTCGAACCCGGGTCTTCGGCATGACGAGCCAACGCTTTAACCACTAGGCTATCCCACCGCCCCCCGCTGTATCTGAGATAGAACACTACAGTGGACCAAGTACTGGTGATTTCAGGCGACCAATCAGTGAAATATAGTGTAGCTTGATTGGGCATGGTATTCTTGGTATAATGCCTCACACAAATCAAACCTATGGTGGTCAGTCAGGGTCTTTCCATGGAATATGTCAGAATGGAGATACAATACACTTGATAATGGAAGATTCAAACAAAAACCAGGTCGACTCAAAAGGAAATCATTAGTAATAGTAATTAGTATTCCAGTTATATCACGCCATGTCATGGGTGGAACCCTAAAGGGACTATTAGATATATTGGCGGTGAAGAGAACGTCTGCTGAAATCTTTAAATAAATTCATAGTGTGGTTGACAGCCAAACAGGAATTTATGGCTATGGTGTAGAAGAGGAAGTGTATTCTAAGGAATTATACAGAACTTGAATCAAGTGTCTAACAGTATTTTAGTTATATCACAGACTATCAGCTTGTGTGAGGAAAGTCTTAAGTGATGGATCAAGAAAAATAATCAAGGCAAACATTTGAAGCCCTCGATCGTAAGTTTGTGGCATGCACTATGTATTGCAGCACCTGGAGACTGGGCCACCTGTGACCCCTTTATTAGTGATGAGCAACTACAACTGACATCTAGGAAACAAGGAAACAGTGATTGTACCAATGAGAAACAAGTTTCTACAACTAAAGACTACTGCTAGGTGAAGTAAGTTTCTACAAGAAGCTTCTACAGTATCTATGTGATGTGCACTCACTGCTGATCAACAAACCTGGGATGATCTTTTTCTCATCAACATCTGGATGTTTGGACTCTATAACACAGTCGTAAATTATCACTGACATACATAAACAGAACACAGTGGAAGAGAGAACTAAAGTAAACTCACCCTTGGAGGAAATTGCTGGTAGTGAATCGAGAACATATATGCAATTTTTCAGCTATATCCTTCTGGATTTTGTGCTCAACTGGTTGACCATTTTAAAATATGGGCTTCAAAGCAGATCATTTATTTATAGCAAACCATGGGGCCCAATTATAAAAACTGATCACAGTACTACACCTCCTGTTCATTGTTTTCTGGTAGTATAGAACTGCATTCAGCAATATTCCACCAATATGACAGCAGAAAGAGAATAATAAAGTGTGGACCAGACAATCCTGTGACTAACATTGGGGAACCAAGTCAACCAAGCAGGGCCCAGCCTCTGGATCTGCCTTTGCAAAGTATTAAGAGTCTGACCATGGGGAACACTTATTGGATGCATGACCTTAAGATGATTTAACACTTATTTCTGACCAGATTTACAGATTCCCAGCAATAGTAACTAATGTTTTCATTCAACTGGATGATATAATGACAACATGTTGCAAAACACATAAACCAGTCTACTCTACTGGGGAGGTTTTTGTACAAAAGATTCTGCCAGAATAGCAATAGATGCCATCACTGTACAACCAGCTCTCTCCAATCAGTAATAAATGAACAAACGTTTAAAACATTGTTGAAGTCAAGCAGTGACTCCCTCCATGACAGCCTGACTCACCTGAATGAACTGATGTCGTGGACTTCCTCGCCAGTCGAGGTTTAGGTTTATCTGGCGTAACTTCCTTTACCACCGCTTTCTTCTCCACTGGAAGGTCAAGGTCCGGCAGCTCATCAAAATCCATGGACTCCTTCTTCTCAGCTTTGTCCACAGGAACTGAACCTTCTTCCTCATCATCAATCATGATAGGGTGAGACACGGAGTCAGTTGAGATGGGGTCCGCGGAGTTGGGATCAGTGGAGATGCTGTCCACCCAGGCAGCTGTCTTCTTCTCATACCTGTCACAGCAAACATGCGATGTTAATCAACATTTGAGCAGACTATTATGCTCTGTAGGTTGTTCATTTCAAATGCCTAAACCTTTCCTTAACCTGTTTTTTCTTTCTGTTTCACATGCACTGAAACCTTTACTATTTTCTACTTAATACATGGTTTACAAGAGTTGGGTTTCCAGGCAGTTTAAATAGTTTCATATTGCAGCTCACCAGCACAAACCTGGAGGTAGCCTGAAGCGATGCGAGTTGTAAATATTTATCACTTTTGAAAATACAAAAGCACAGGTATGGAGTTCACAGATAATAAACCATCAGCAGATCCTGCCACTGCTAAGGAAAATAAATCTGTACATCAAATGGTGGCACCTTAGACCACATTGGCACCCTTTTTCTTGAAAACACATTTTGATATAATCAAATTACAATTTAATTGTTTCATACGTGTGATACCTGTGCATGCCAGCACTAGCTGGTTTAATTCATAGAATGGTTAGTGATCAAGTATGAGAAAGTACAGTATTATCTGAACAGTTACATCACAAAGACACCACAAGGAACACCACAAGGACAAACACAACACTGCCACTGATATAAGACAAAGGGAACAGATCAGCAACATGTGGCTGGGAATAGCATGGGAAGTCATCACAGACACCAAGTATGTGACTTGTGCATGTAATTGTTAAAAGCAAAGGTTTTCCTCATCATCGATAAAGTAGAAAGGAACACTGCAGAAGACTGACTGAGTTTGGTTTTACGCCGCTTTTAGCAATATTCCAGCAACATCACGGCGGGGGACACCAGAAATGGGCTTCACACATTGTACCCATGTTGGGATTCGAACCCGGGTTTTCGGCGTGACGAGCCAATGCTTTAACCACTAGGCTACCCCACCGCCCCCACTGCAGAAGAAGGGCGGGTGAGTGAAAGAGGTTCCCAGCTAAAGTCAGCTACATATAAACTAACTGACCAGAGTACTAAGTGTGGCCTGTGGAGGACTGGAGAGTTAGGCCCACAGAGATTAGTTTTAATATAGTAGATACAGTAGAACTATTTTGCCCTTACTGTTTGACCATCTGTACTATTTTATGTGTTTCTGTTCTCAAACCTCAACCAACAAGAGAGTGGGCGGACAAAAATAATTGAATAAAAGGAAAAAAATAAAATAAATTCTTTTACTAATCTTGTAACAATTATCAAATTTCAAAATTTAGATCACTTAAAAATTTGCTTTAAATTAACTTATGATGTTGACTGAGTCACTTTGTTAAAGAAACAATTTATTAATAAATATATATGAAGAGTGTGGAACGGCATGAATTTAATTTTTACATTAGGACAAAACTTTTCAACAGTGACGAAAACTGTTTGTTATTTCATATATTTTTGTACTAGACATTGACATTATGCTCAGTGATTGACACTTATGTGATTTCTTGAGGGTGGCATGGCGGAATCTTAACAGTGACCGCACACAATTACATCAAAACGACCTTAGTTATCAGCACATAAGTCAATCAGTGTTTAGTCAGTCTGCATTTAGATTTGCCATGTAATTACTCCCTGAGAATCAATTTATCCTGATAAAAGGTTAAATGGAGGCTTAAATAAGTTCCTTTGTTATGGCTAAGGGTAACATATTGACACTTTGAAAAATATGGAGTGTTGCAATACTTTTTACCATGAGTATGTGTTTCAAGCGTTCTAATTAAAGTTGTAACTTGTTAAGCAGTGCAGGATCTTCTAACAGAGACAAGACATCACAATGAACACCAGGAGAGGACAGACACACTTGACAGAGTGAAGCACACTGTGATGAAAGACCATCAAAAGAAAACAAACTTCAACATGCATGAAATTTTCGAAGAACATCAGAACTGGTAAACAAACAAAAGTAAAACCTTTACAAAATCTGTGTTCAAACCCCAAGTAGGTGGCTTTGTATCTTACTATGATATCTGACAAGGTACACCAGAATGAGGCACATCCTAGAGAATGAAACCTCCTGTGTGCATAAGTAACTGAGTGAGTGTGTGACTAGCAGTGGCTGAGTGAGTGAGGAACACCCAATGTTCTAGACTTCGACGTAAAAGGGCATTGTATGACAACCCCAGAATGATTATTTGGGTTCAAATAGAGACGAAATACCCATGATCATAAACTTTTTGCATGCATTAGGGACGCAACTGTGCACTGCAAACTACTTCAGATGACAAGTACCAATATGTTCCATTAATCATCTGTTCTGTAAGAAAGGTTTGTTCAACTTGTTGGTTTACCAGCAGAATGGAGACATGACAGGGAGTCACAAATCAACAGTAAATAGGAGAGATTAGTAGGACATAAAAGTTCTATAGGAAAAGCAGATTAGACAGAACAACATCCATCCAGTCAGGAATATATAATATGTACAGATATACATGGTATATCAACACGCAATTTAGATATTTTGACATAAATTCTGAAAATTAAACAGAAATTTCAAAATTTGTAGTTCAGATATTCCTTCAAACACCCAGGTTGCCATGAAAGACTTGTGGTCCAATGGCGACAGAACAAAACTTCTTGTGTAAACAGACCTACAGTACCACCTGTTCCCATGGAGACAGAACAAAACACCTGTCCAGACAGACCTACAGTACCACCTGTTCCCATGGAGACAGAACAAAACCACCTGTCAAGAGAGACCTACAGTACCACCTGTTCCCATGGAGACAGAACAAAACCACCTGTCAAGAGAGACCTACAGTACCACCTGTTCCCATGGAGACAGAACAAAACCACCTGTCAAGAGAGACCTACAGTACCACCTGTTCCCATGGAGACAGAACAAAACCACCTGTCAAGAGAGACCTACAGTACCACCTGTTCCCATGGAGACAGAACAAAACCACCTGTCAAGAGAGACCTACAGTACCACCTGTTCCCATGGAGACAGAACAAAACCACCTGTCAAGAGAGACCTACAGTACCACCTGTTCCCATGGAGACAGAACAAAACCACCTGTCAAGAGAGACCTACAGTACCACCACTTGTTCCCATGGAGACAGAACAAAACCACCTGTCAAGAGAGACCTACAGTACCACCTGTTCCCATGACTACAGACAGAACAAAACCACCTGTCAAGAGAGACCTACAGTACCACCTGTTCCCATGGAGACAGAACAAAACCACCTGTCAAGAGAGACCTACAGTACCACCTGTTCCCATGGAGACAGAACAAAACCACCTGTCAAGAGAGACCTACAGTACCACCTGTTCCCATGGAGACAGAACAAAACCACCTGTCAAGAGAGAGACCTACAGTACCACCTGTTCCCATGGAGACAGAACAAAACCACCTGTCAAGAGAGACCTACAGTACCACCTGTTCCCATGGAGACAGAACAAACCACCTGTCAAGAGAGACCTACAGTACAGTACCACCTGTCCATGGAGACAACAAAACCACCTGTCAGTACCACCTGTTCCCATGGAGACAGAACAAAACCACCTGTCAAGAGAGACCTACAGTACCACCTGTTCCCATGGAGACAGAACAAAACCACCTGTCAAGAGAGACCTACAGTACCACCTGTTCCCATGGAGACAGAACAAAACCACCTGTCAAGAGAGACCTACAGTACCACCTGTTCCCATGGAGACAGAACAAAACCACCTGTCAAGAGAGACCTACAGTACCACCTGTTCCCATGGAGACAGAACAAAACCACCTGTCAAGAGAGACCTACAGTACCACCTGTTCCCATGGAGACAGAACAAAACCACCTGTCAAGAGAGACCTACAGTACCACCTGTTCCCATGGAGACAGAACAAAACCACCTGTCAGAGAGACCTACAGTACCACCTGTTCCCATGGAGACAGAACAAAACCACCTGTCAAGAGAGACCTACAGTACCACCTGTTCCCATGGAGACAGAACAAAACCACCTGTCAAGAGAGACCTACAGTACCACCTGTTCCCATGGAGACAGAACAAAACCACCTGTCAAGAGAGACCTACAGTACCACCTGTTCCCATGGAGACAGAACAAAAACACCTGTCCAAAAAGAGAGACCTACAGTACCACCTGTTCCCATGGAGACAGAACAAAACCACCTGTTCCCTGGAGAGAGACCAAGACAGTACCACCTGTTCCCATGGAGACAGAACAAAAACACCTGTCCATTGGAGACAGACCTACAGTACCACCTGTTCCCATGGAGACAGAACAAAACCACCTGCCAAGAGAGACCTACAGTACCACCTGTTCCCATGGGGACAGAACAAAACTACCTGTCCCAGACTTGAGAGAGACCCACAGTACCACCTGTTCCCATGGAGACAGAACAAAAACTACCTGTCAAGACAGACCTACAGTACCACCTGTTCCCATGGAGACAGAACAAAACCACCTGTCAAGAGAGACCTACAGTACCACCTGTTCCCATGGAGACAGAACAAAAACACCTGTCCTGAGAGACCTACAGTACCACCTGTTCCCATGGAGACAGAACAAAAACACCTGTCCTGACAGACCTACAGTACCACCTGTTCCCATGGAGACAGAACAAAACCACCTGTCAAGAGAGACCTACAGTACCACCTGTTCCCATGGAGACAGAACAAAACCACCTGTCAAGAGAGACCCACAGTACCACCTGTTCCCATGGGGACAGAACAAAACCACCTGTCAAGAGAGACCCACAGTACCACCTGTTCCCATGGGGACAGAACAAAACCACCTGTCAAGAGAGACCCACAGTACCACCTGTTCCCATGGGGACAGAACAAAACCACCTGTCAAGAGAGACCCACAGTACCACCTGTTCCCATGGGGACAGAACAAAACCACCTGTCAAGAGAGACCTACAGTACCACTTTTTCCTGCACAGGCAGATCTGGAGGACACTCAGGTCAGATGGTGACATTTTCTGTATTATTTCGTTGTTCTTCAGTATAAATGAAATTTATATTACTCTTGAAGAATATATTCTAACATTAATATGAACATGAAATTACATTACCAGCTACAACCACCAGCATGCTCCTGACCCCCAACAAACCAAGGAAGATGATTTGCACTTTTTTGCTGACAAATCATACACATGATGCTATTCATCACAGATTCCATGCAAACTTCACAATAACACTGATACAAACATTACCATGTACTGCACAAGGGACATGGTTGTGACCATGAATAAAAATAATGCAAACCAAACAGCCATGTGGCAACAGTGGCAACACAAACCAGCGCAACGGCATCAACAGAACCAAGGTTCTACTTAGCACTGGAACACCACTGTACATCATGCTGTGACCGGCCGCACACTGGTTTGTATAAGGATTGGAAATATCAACCAACATGACTCGCCATTCTTTGTTGTCCCCACTCGCAGCAGAGTCACGCTTAATTACTATCTTCTTTAACTTTTCATCTTTCCTGTCCGAGCTCTCTATGCTTGACTGGCTTTCAAGCTTAGACGTTTTGTTTCTTTTCCTGGAAATAGATATCAGAGAGGATCATGTTTTGTATACCCCTGCTACGGGTGCAACAATTACTGTCCCATTGACTGTCCGTCATAGACAGTTAGGCAAACAGGTAATTGGTTGCATCCTGCCAGTAATATTTGGAGCAGACTGTTAATCCTTCATGTTGTAGCTTGTATTGTTTCAAACAGACTCCTAATCCGTTACGTTGTGGCAGGTAATACAGCACCAATCTGGTAATGGTGATGGTTTGCAACAAAGTCATGGCAGGCATTTATGGCCAGTAATATTTTAGGCTTGCATGTATGTCTTGACCAGTCTTCATGTTGCAGGATACTATCCAGTGTTGTGGGATAATGACGAGTGTTGAACTGTAATGTCCAGTGATGAAGGACCATGGCCAATGTTGTATGACAGTGACTGGCGTTATAATGACCGGATACTATCCAGTGTTGTGGGATAATGACGAGTGTTGAACTGTAATGTCCAGTGATGAAGGACCATGGCCAATGTTGTATGACAGTGACTGGCGTTATACGACCGTGACCAATGTCCCTGGATACTGTCCAGTGTTGTAGAGTAGTGACCAAAGCTATGGAATACTGACCACTGATGAAGAACAATATCCAAAGTCACAGGATAGTTACTAATGTTGCTAAATAGTGACCAGTGTCATAGGATACTGACAAACGTGGTTAGAATGTGACCAATATGGCAGTGACCAATGTTGAAGGATACTGAGTAGTCTGTCCTTCAGAGATTAAATAAAGAACAAATTCAACAGAGTGACACTTAGTGTTTGCATATTTATATATGTAGGAAAGTGACCAATGTTGTACAACAGTAACTAGTGTTGAAGCCCAGTGACCAATGTTGTAGGAAAGTGCATAATGTTGTAGGACAGTAACCAGTGTTTGAAGCACAGTGACCAATGTTGAAGGACAGTGACCAATGTTGTACAACATTAACCAGTGTGACCAATGTGAAGCACAGTGACTAATGTTGTAGGATAGTGACCAATGTTGTACGACAGTAACCAGTGTTGAAGCCCAGTGACCAATGTTGTCTGATAGTGACCAAAGTTGCAGCACAGTGACCAATGTTGTAGGAAAGTAACCAGTGTTGAAGCCCAGTGACCAATGTTGTCGGATTGTGACCAATGTTGTACAACATTAACCAGTGTTGAAGCCCAGTGACCAATGTTGTCGGAAAGTGACCAATGTGTACAACATTAACAGTGACAGTACCAATGCTGTAGGATAGTGACCAATGTTGTATGATAGTGACCAATGTTGTACAACAGTAACCAGTGTTGAAGCCCAGTGACCAATGTTGTAGGATTGTGACCAATGTTGTACAACAGTAACCAGTGTTGAAGCCCAGTGACCAATGTTGTCGGATTGTGACCAATGTGAAGGCACAGTGACTAATGCTGTAGGATAGTGACCAATGCTGTCTGATAGTGACCAATGTTGTACAACAGTAACCAGTGTTGAAGCCCAGTGACCAATGTTGTCGGATTGTGACCAATGTGAAGGCACAGTGACTAATGCTGTAGGATAGTGACCAATGTTGTCTGATAGTGACAAATGTTGCAGAACAGTGACCAATGTTGTAGCAGAGTCATCAATATTGTAACACAGTGATCCATATTGTAACACAGTGATCCATATTGTAGGAGACAGTAACAAATATTATGCTGGAGGATAGCAGGTGAGCTACTTGTTTATATGATGAGTTACATATCTGAGTTAATCCAGGATGATCACAAACACAACTGTTAATGTATCACTATATTGTATCATGTTAAATGGATAAACATATATTGTTTATAATTGTTGTCTGTTGATTAGCACCACACCCAGTGTTATTCAGCAGTATCAATTCAGTTTGTAAATAATCAAGCCTGGACCAGACTTTCCAGTGACTGACATCATAATGCATATGGGTTACAATCAGGTCCACAAAACACCAGATCCCCTGAGTTGTCTCTATCTACAAGCTTGGGTTGATAAATCCTAATCCTAACTAGGATCTTCACCTGTTGAGACCAGCAATGGATAATAAACTACATCCTGAAACTCAACATATCAACTTGCATTGTTACATAAAATGTTTCTTCTTGTAACACTGACCCAGTTTACCTGGTCAGTGAGTGAGTGAGTTTAGTTTTACGCCGCACTCAGCAATATTCCAGCTATATGGCGTCAGTCTGTAAATAATCAAGTCTGGACCAGACAATCCAGTGATCAACAGCATGAACACCAGTCTACGTAATTGGGATACGATGACACGTGTCAACCAAGTCAGTGAGCCTGACCACCCGACCCCATCGCCTCTTACGACAAGCATGGGTTACTGAAAATCAATTCTAACCCAGATCTGCAGATCGTAAACTGTTTTCAGAAATGCTTTTTTCAATGAGAATGGCCTTCAGAATTCATTCATGGGTGACTGAATAGGGTTTGATGGCAAACATAGAAACTGGGGGTGTAAGAGCTTGCTACCCAAGTGGAGACGAGATAGAGCACATGGCAACAGAAGAATTTCAGAAACATTGCAACATGCAAGGAAATGAGGTTTAAGCAGCTGCTGTAGTAAAGTGGTCTGTATTTCAGTTGGATCCAAGGAAACCAGTTGTTCATAGCATGAACCACACTTAATCACTCAGGGTAAAATGACACATTCAGCAATGTCACACATGAGAACCTATGTCGTGGATGTGGTCCTGGAGACCTGCCTAGCCCTGGACTCACATAGGGAGACAAACATGTCATACTGGGGACCTGCTTTATCCTGGACTCACATAAGGAGATAACATGTTATACTGGAGACCTGCCTTGCCCTGGACTCACATAGGGAGATAAACATGTTATACTGGAGACCTGCCTTGCCCTGGACTCACATAGGGAGACAAACATGTCATACTGGGGACCTGCTTTATCCTGGACTCACATTGGGAGATAAACATGTTATACTGGGGACCTGCTTTATCCTGGACTCACATAGGGAGATAACATGTTATACTGGGGACCTGCTTTATCCTGGACTCACATAGGGAGACAAACATGTTATACTGGGGACCTGCTTTATCCTGGACTCACATTGGGAGATAAACATGTTATACTGGGGACCTGCTTTATCCTGGACTCACATAGGGAGATAAACATGTTATACTGGGGACCTGCTTTATCCTGGACTCACATTGGGAGATAAACATGATACTGGGGACCTGTTTTATCCTGGACTCACATTGGGAGATAAACATGTTATACTGGGGACCTGCTTTATCCTGGACTCACATAGGGAGATAAACATGTTATACTGGGGACCTGCTTTATCCTGGACTCACATTGGGAGATAAACATGTTATACTGGGGACCTGCTTTATCCTGGACTCACATAGGGAGACAAACATGTTATACTGGGGACCTGCTTTACCCTGGACTCACATAGGGAGATAAACATGTTATACTGGGGACCTGCTTTACCCTGGACTCACATAGGGAGATAAACATGTTATACTGGGGACCTGCTTTACAGTTGACTCACAGAGGGAGATAGACATGAGGGATATATTCTGGACTAGCCCTGGACACACATAGGGAGATAAATAAGTTATACTGAGACCCTGCTTTATCCTGGACTCACATAGGGAGATAAACATGTTATACTGGGGACCTGCTTTATCCTGGACTCACATAGGGAGATAAACATGTTATACTAGGGACCTGCTTTACTGTTGACTCACAGAGGGAGATAAACATGAGGGATATATTCTGGACTAGCCCTGGACTCACATAGGGAGATAAATAAGTTATACTGAGACCTGCTTTATCCTGGACTCACATAGAGAGATAAACATGTTATACTGGGGACCTGCTTTTACTGTGGACTCACATAGGGAGATACACATGTTATACTGGGGACCTGCTTTACTGTTGACTCACAGAGGGAGATAAACATAGGGATATATTCTGGACTAGCCCTGGACTCACATAGGGAGATAAATAAGTTATACTGAGACCTGCTTTATCCTGGACTCACATAGGAGATAAACATGTTATACTGGGGACCTGCTTTATTGTGGACTCACACATAGGGGGAGATACTCATGTTATACTGGGGACCTGCTTTACTGTTGACTCACAGAGGGAGATAAACATGAGGGATATATTATGGACTAGCCCTGGACTCACATAGGGAGATAAACATGTTATACTGGAGACCTGCTTTAACCTGGACTCACATAGGGAGATAAACATGTTATACTGGGGACCTGCTTTACCCTGGACTCACATAGGGAGATAAACATGTTATACTGGGGACTTGCTTTACTGTGGACTCACATAGGGAGATAAACATGAGGGAATATGCTGGACTAGCCCTGGACTCACATAGGGAGGTAAATAAGTTATACTGAGACCTGCTTTAGCCTGGACTCACATAGGGAGATAAACATGTTATACTGGGGACCTGCTTTACTGTTGACTCACAGAGGGAGATAAACATGAGGGGGACTAGCCCTGACTCTTTGAGAGAACAAACATGAAGTACTGATATACTGGACTAGCCCTGGACTCTCATTGAGAGAATAAACATGAAGAGGGATATATTCTGGACTAGCCCTGGACTCTCCCTGGTACTACCAGGGATATATTCTGGATAGCCCTGACTCTCATTGAGAGAACAAACATGAAGTACTACCATTCTGGACTAGCCCTGGACTCTCATTGAGAGAACAAACATGAAGTACTACCAGGGATGTATTCTGGACTAGCTATGAACTCCCTTGTTATTTGCAAATCTGCGCCTACCTGGTGGCATGCTCTTTGTGCTCTACGTTCTGTTCATTTCCTTCACCAGCAAAGTCACTGAAGCAGAGACATAACACAGATACAAACACATGGCCATACACACAACAGGTAGCTTACAGGGTCTGCATAGATGAGGTCTGACAACAGCTGGTATAAAACGTGTAACATAGACTGGACGGGTTTACCTAGGAACCTGAGAATCTCTGCCATCTTGGAGTGATGAGATCTTGTCCAGTAACAAATACAATACAAAGTAAGAAAACACAATAACACTATAATGTCCAAAACAAAAACGGAATCATCAAACATGCCTATACTTAGGACTATATATACATTAAACTACAGCCACAGTTGTCCAGAAAGGCCCCTCTTGGGATGCTAACTGTTACAATGTACATGTATACAACTGATATCACAGTCGCTTATCTGAGTATTCTTTAATCTGTAAGGATTAACAAGGCTTTACTTACTTTAAGTCAAACCAGTTAAGCTTTTGAAGTTTTTGAAAATATGGTGTGGCTAAATACCCTACTACTATTTTTCTTTCTGGTTTGAAGAAGATTTCTCTCATACATAAAACAATATGTTCAACTGTGACGAACAATAATTCACTAAGCAGCACTCACAACACAACACTCACAGTCACAGTAAGCATATTTTCAGTTAGGCCAAATAAAAAAAAATGTTGTGGTTCTGATTACACCTCTTTAAAATTTAGGGTAAGTAGGTATGTAGGAATTCTTTTGATTTTTTTACATATTTTTTTAGAAGGAAATTACAAACTAATAACACATGTATCAATGTGTAAGTTTTTATTCAATCAAGCTTGCGGCCGTTATGTCGACTTTCTCTATCAGAATGACCGATATCTGTCAGTGCCAGGAAAAAACAATGGTATCTGAAAGCTTATTTTATTCAGTCCACTTAAAAAAATAGGGTCGGCACCAGAATTCAAGGGTCAGTCGGGTAATCGGAACCACAACATATTTTTCTTTAGGCCTTAATAAGAACAAGGTGGAAGTTTAACATTGCTGTTGAAAGTTCTTTCATATATATTTAAAAAGAAAACACACAAAACTCTGCACAGCCAGTCATGAAACTGAGACCTTTGTACTGATGGGTATTGCCTGACTTTCATAAAACAATTAGTTGTAATAATGATTCATTGTATTTCATTTGTTCCTTCATCTCCAGTTGGTTATGGACCTGAATTAAAATGGACCCATACCACAGCCTATTGACAACTTTGTAGTCATCCCCCATTTTGTTAGATGATGCAATGATCACAATGTATGTGTAATAGGCACATTATGTAAAGACAGCTGATCGTGAATAGTTTTTCAACAACTAGAATCAGTTGCTATCTTCAAATCAACTTATTAACTCTAATTTGACTGATCACATTTGTAAATTATGTCAACAAGATGAAAATAAGAATAATATTAAGGAAAGCAATATCCTGGTATTTCTTAGCGTATTGTGGCACACATTCAATTGTATTTCTTATGGTATACCCATCAGTACTTGGTGTAAAAGAACATGCAGTGTTTGACTAAACCAAATATGTCAAAGGGACCATGATGTTTACTGCTGTAGTATCTGAATCCCCATTATCAAGATTAATGCTGAATATATCACACATTCTGTCAAAATGTAATGGGAGAGTGAAGGTGAGAGTGCAAGCACACCATCACTAGATCCTAGGCAAGGGGACACAACTCTGCATACCAACATGTAGCCCCCAATGAGGATAACATCAGATAAAATCAGGAATATTTTCAGACTTCTGATTGCTTAAAAAGAGAATTAGAGACTCCAACCTGTCAGATGTATCACTCGTGACTGCTTCATCCCCTTCATCTTCAGCATCTGAATCATCCCCAATGCCTTGATCTTCTTCCACATCGCTCTCATACCCCTCCTTCTGACGCTCCACCACCTCGATGAAGTCCAACTCAGCCAAGTACTCATCCCCATATTGTTTACCATCCTGATCACAGAATATGGTACTTGTCAAATAGTTGGGTTTTCAACACATTTAGCACTATTATATCTTGGTAGGACATAAATATATTTGATTTATCAAAACCTTGGTGTTCAGTGATAAGGCATATGCTTTAACCACTGGATCACCTTGTAGTCAGTGCATAACGTAAACAGTGTTGTAAAATAGATAAAATAAAAACTTTATAGCTATGGACAGTGGCTGTTTTAGCCATTCACCAACCCTGACACAAGAAGCATGTTACCTCATTCGCTCCACCCTCTGTCAACAGTTGACCAGCATAGATACAGATGAAGCCTCCCTTTGGAATGTCGTCAAGGCAACGCAGGCCCCACCCCCTGAATACAACAAACACAGTCACTGAATAATTTACAAAACATATTTAACAGAAAGTGATCAGCAATACCAAATCTGTTCAGCAGTATCTGGAACTGCATTTTAACAAGGCTTTATGACTGGAATATTATGTGATCCATTTATATTAACGCGGAAACATGGTACCATGGTTCGCGGTACCATGGTTCATTTCAGTGTACAGCAAGATACCAAGTCCCTGTCATTCCCAATACAACAATCACTCTTGAAGCTTTATCATCCTGCTTGTCTTCTGTCTCACCTTTTCTCTGTCTTGAACACCTGGAGACGAAGACTAAGTCCATTCTGTGCCAGGCGGTTGTGACAGCGACTGTCACACTTACAGCGGGGATTGCACTCAAAGATACTGAAAGACATTCACAGTACATGGAGTGGCATCAATTCCTTTTAACTCTTAAGGATTGATTGTAATCGCAATTGAACTAACATCAGTTCACTGTTTTGCTTTCTGTCATTATATGGGGCTATTGACCATCACGTAAGAAAAGTTAAGGGATTTATACTATAGGATTGACAGTACACTTCAACTTTGGTGATTAGGCAATAAATCATAATCCCTAGTTCACATTAAAAAAGACACACATCTTTTTCGGGACATTGTCATGTCCGGTTCACAATGACACTGTCTCTACCCCTGGTGACTGAGTTGGTACACACCCTGTAAATATCGGCTCCTTCAGCCTGCGGAAGTCGTAGCCGGCTGAGGGGTCTCTGTAGTTGGGCCCCAGAGCCTCAGTATGCTCAATGGTGAGTTGGCAACACTGGCACTTGGACTTGTCCTGGAACACAGACATGTAGGTGGACATCTGACTTAACACATCCCATACATAACATACATACAACATTCTCGTTCTAAATGTAGCATCCCAGGATTTAGAGCAAGTCTTGCACCTACCCTACAGTTGTCTGTACAGTCACAGCACATGAGGAAGTCTGAGTCAAGGTTGAGCTTCACCCCTTGGGCTGGGATCCTCTGGTTCGAATACTCCACATAGTCAGGGTACTGTCGATCTATTCCATTGATACATGATATCGGGACAGCTTCCTTGCCATAGGACAAATCTTTGATATCACAAAATGTCTGCAAAGAAACGCATGTCTTTACTTTATGAACTGAAAAGAAATATCTTATCAAAGAATAATCAACATAACAAATCCATTTCATTGTAAAGATATATACCAGGGTGCCATTGTACAAAGTGATCTTAGCTAAGGTGACCGTAAGTCCCATACCTTAACACAGTCTTAAGTAAGTCTTAGAGCTAAGGTTGTTTTGTACAACAGACCGTAACTCCAATACCTTAACATAGACATAAGGTAGTCTTAGCGCTAAGGTTGTTTTGGACAACAGACCGTAACTCCCATACCTTAACATAGACATAAGGTAGTCTTAGAGCTAAGGTTGTTTTGGACAACAGACCATAACTCCCAGACCTTAACATAGACATAAGGTAGTCTTAGCGTTAAGGTTGTTTTGGACAACAGACCGTAACTCCCAGACCTTAACATAGACATAAGGTATACCTTAGTCTTAAGGTTAAACTGGTTGTTTTTTACAACAGACCATAACTCCCATACCTTAACACAGTCTTAAGTTAGTCTTAGCGCTAAGGTTGTTTTGTACAACAGACCGTAACTCCCATACCTTAACACAGTCTTAAGGTAGTCTTAGCGTTAAGGTTGTTTTGTACAACAGACTGTAACTCCCATACCTTAACACAGTCTTAAGGTAGTCTTAGCGATAAGGTTGTTTTGTACAACAGACCGTAACTCCCATACCTTAACACAGTCTTAAGGTAGTCTTAGAGCTAAGGTTGTTTTGTACAACTGTTCCCAGAGCAGCACCACAGGCTTATCATCCAGCCATACTTGGATGGCTGAGGTGAAATGTGGTGTCACATCAAGTTCAAGATGATAGTTATTACATATGTACTAGTATGTTGCTGCTCATACTAGTCTGTAGTGCTGGCCTGTTGCCATACCATGCCACAATTTAGAATATCTACCCCACTCAGACATCTCTAAACACACTCTACCACTAAAACACAGATGTTGCCTCACAAAAGCATTGTACATGTATGTTATCTAACAGCTTTTGTTACTTTATTGTAGATTATTCTGGGATAATTACTGTATAGTACATTGCCTCACCTTGACAGGCACGAACTCTGTGTGTACATGTAGCACAGGATCGAAACAGAAGAGGTCGATGGTGAGGGGTGAGTCAGTGACACAAAGGTACAGGTCCACTTCCTCTATACAGCGGAGTCGTCTCTGACACGGACCCTGATACATGACCACACGACGGCCACTTGGACGCTGCTTACACACATGCCTGGAACACACAGCAGCTTCTAGTACTAGATGTCACAGCTGACTATAAGTCAACAACATATCACAGCTAGATCAAGATGTGCAAGGACACAGCTTACACACATGCCTGGAACACACAGCAGCTTCTAGTACTAGATGTCACAACTGACTATAAGTCAACAGCATATCACAGCTAGATCAAGATGTGCAAGGACACAGCTTACACACATGAAACATATTGGTTCTAGGTTCAGATCAGTATGTATCAAATTTTAGAACTAGACACAGAAACTTGCTATCTGTGTTCCCTTCAACAAAGCTAACATGAGTAATTGCTTAACAGGACTTTGGACATTTGTAATTTCCATTTAGGATTTATTACTGGCATTTATTTGGGCCTGACTATGCCCTAAACATAGGTCTAGTTGACTCCCCAGAAGCCCAAAATGATGTGATCAAAGTTATTTCCTCCCTTTAAGGAACCAGTGTTTGGTGAAGACTGACAACAGTACTGACAGTGCAAATCTAGGCCTCAGCAGAAGTGGCATATCCTGGAGCAGCCAAGGGGGCAACCTACCTCTCCCATCCACACAGTAGAGGTTTGAGCAGCGTACTGCGGCCCTTCAGCTTCTCAAGCTCCTCGTCATTGTTCTTCTTGCACTTCTTGCCACAATTGTGGGGAACTGAAACATTCAACAAGCTCACCAAAATCTACACTAGCAATATTCAAACCATATGGCCTGTCAGTCATCAAACCAGAAAATCCAGGTGACATGAGATATTTTCCATGCATCAGGGTTTGGTGACATGCAATTAACTAAATCACTGCGCCTGACACACCCAACCATGAGGTCGCTTCTTTTGTGATGCTATAATTCCAAGGTCTGCCTCTTGCACAAGAACACAGTGCAGTTGATGTATGATATCACCACTGGTGTCACACCAAGTATACTCACTGAATTTCTTCCTGATCTTCTCCTTTAAGTCCAGCATCGTGTCCATCCTCTCTCCTAGTGCCTCCTCATCTGGGGAGAGACAGTCTATGCATAAATAACACCAAAACATTCATGTCACTGTTACCTAAATATTCCAGTAGGACTTCAAATGAATTTCTGTATGTACACTACACAGTCAAATACTCCATGATCTTCTATCCCTGGAACTTGTAGATTCATTCCAGGTGGAGACCCACCAGTTCTAAATTACAGATTCTGAGACATTAATGGTGTTGGTATGGCAATGTCATGTACCCTGGAACAGATGCCCTCACCTATGTCTGCCTCGTCCACAGTCTTGAGCCTCTCCTGGAGGACGCTGGCCATGTCCTGGGCCACCGTGTTGCTGCTGATACTGCTGGCCTGGTAGAAGGCTGGACACACAGGGAGAAAGTCAGACAACATGACATCAACATGGCACCAGCATGGGACCACAGTCAACACAAAACAGTACTTGCTGGCCTGGTAGAAGGCTGCACACACAGTGAGAAAATCAGACAACATGACATCAACATGGCACCAGCATGGGACCACAGTCAACATGACACCAGTAAGGGACGACAGTCAACAGAAAACAGTACTTGCTGGCCTGGTAGAAGGCTGCACACACAGTGAAAAGGTCTGTTAAAGCTTGTATAGAGCTAACACAAAAATGTAATTTTTAGAGTAAAATTGATATTTTATACTTATCCTGACTCATGCTCTTTTTGCTTGTCTTCTTCTTCTTGCGAACATAGTGGAACACTTGTATCTCCCTAATTGAAGCTCCCTTCAATGTAAAATCACTAATTAGTACTCAGCACGAGTTACCTCCCTTCCACAAGCGCGTGAACGAGGGCGCCACCTCCACCCATGTGCCTCACTCTCTCCTCATATACTGAGCCCAACATTTGAATTTACAGGGAAATCCAAAGTGTTATGTGGGGAGGATGGGAGGGCTTACCTCATGAGTCAGGATAAGTATAAAATATCAATTTTACTCTAAAAATTACATATTTTTCCTTATCCTGACTCATGCTCTTTTGCTTGTAGAATCCTTGAGGAAAGGGAGGTGGGAATATATAATACTTTGGATTTTAATAATTAGTGATTTGAACTGTGATGATTGTAATAACCCTATGGGAACTTCATAAAGGTACTGAACTGATGAATTCCTGCTGCTAACTTATCAGCTGCCATATAAAGGTTATTACAATGTACTTATTATGATAAAGTATATATAACATTAATACAATGCTTAAGGCTAATAGACTTAAGCTTGTTAATATGCTAGTATAAACTCCTTAGAGTTTGTTAGCTAAATTACTTTTAAAATATAAACATAGTACTAAGCTTAAGATATGATTAAACTTAAGCTAATTATATAATAGCAAAACTCTTTTTAGAGTTTGTTAGTTAATGTACTTATATGATATAGACATAGTGCTGAGCTTAAGATATGAATAAGCTTTAGCTACCTATATAATAGCAAAACTCTGTAGAGTTTGTTAGCTAATATATTTTTACAATATGTTATAGTACTGTGCTTAAGATATAATTAACTTAAGCTACATATATAATAGCCAAAACTCTGTAGAGTTTATTAGCTTATAGATTTATAATGTAACCATAGTACTAAGCTTAAGATAAGATTAGACTTAAGCTAAATGTATATAGCAAAAAAAAACTCCTTAGAGTTTATTAACTAATATACTTTTATGTTATAACCATAGTACTGAGCTTAAGATATAATTAAACTTAAGCTATATATATAATAGCAAAACTCAGAGAGTTTTGTTAGCTAATACATTTTATAATGTAACCATACTGCTTAAGATATGATGAAACTTAAGCTAATTGTATAATAGCAAAAAACCCTTTAGAGTTTGTTAGCTAAAATACTTATATGATATAAACTTAGTATTGAGTTTATGAAGGAAATCTTAAGCTACATATATAATAGCAAACACTCCGTAGAGTTTGTTAGCTAATATACTTATATGATATAAACATAGTATTGAGCTTTGAAGGAAACCTTAAGCTACATATATAATAGCAAAAAACTCCGTAGAGTTTGTTAGCTAATATACTTATATGATATAAACATAGTATTGAGCTTAAGATTTGAAGGAAAACTTAAGCTACCTATATAATAGCAAAAACTCCGTAGAGTTTGTTAGCTAATACAAGTTATAATGTAACCATAAAGTTTAAATTATGATGAAACTTAAGCCAAATATATAATAGCAAAAACTCTTTTAGAGTTTTGATAGCTAATATACCTATATGATATAAACATAGTATTGCTTTAAGATATGAATAAGCTTAAGTTACATATATAATAGTAAAAAAACTCCAGTAGAGTTTGTTAGCTAATACATGTTATAATGTAACCATATTGCTTAAGATATGATGAGCCTTAAGCCAAATAGCAAAACTCTTTAGAGTTTGTTAGCTAATATACTGATATGATATAAACATAGTACTGAGCTTAAGATATGAATAAGCTTAAGCTACCTATATAATAGCCCAAACTCTGTAGAGTTTGTTAGCTTATATATTTTACAATCTGAGTATAGTACTATGCTTAAGATATAATTAAGTTAAGGTAAATATATAATAACCAACTCTGTAGAGTTGTTAACTTATATATTGTATGATGCAATAATCATAGTACTGTGATGATAAAAGAACTTAAGCAAATTATATATAGCATGTAGCTATTTAGTACTGTTATAAGATAAGTAGAAATCTGTAAGATTGACTTATCTTCTCGAGGAACTGTCAACTGTTGTAGCGAGGACCATGGGATCGCATTGGTGGATACCTGAGACGTCCTCGGTGATGATATCTCTCAGATAATGGTTGGCAACCACCATATCAGGATCTCCAGAAAATAAACCCTCCATTATTTCAAATAATATTGTGTAGATCAATTGTAGAAGTTAGCTTCTAATATCATGAGTATTAAAGCTCATGGAGGGTCGGATTGGGTCCATCCGTCTTGTATGCACGTAGTATGACAGTTCTGATCCAAGCGGAGATATAGTGCGTGAGATTTCATTTTAAGTTAAGTTGATGATAGAGGAAATATTCTGTTGTATTATTCCCTTCTGTTTGGTTCGGTGGAGATAAATTTACAGTGCTCTTGCTGGCCATCGTGATAGAATCATCGTATCATGGAGTCCAAGTATGTCATCCAGGCGTGTTCATAAACCTCACTTGTGAGGTGTTGGAGCACTTTATTCAGATCCCCAAGTTGGAGGGTGAAACTTCCGTTTTAATTCTCCAATCAGAAAATTAAAGTAGGTTTACTAACCATCTAGTTGTGTTAGTAGCTTGATTATGAAATTCAGCTGTAGTCTGAGACGCTGTGGATTTAGATCCACTTGTATCCCGTCGTCTAGGTTATTCGCTGCGAAGTCCTTGACGATGTAGGTGCACAACCAGGTGCCTCGTTGCATTTTATGTAAAATTGCCTGACTGCCGTGCCCTCGTCCTAACTTGACAGGGGAGGTCTCTAACCTGAAGAAAGCAGCCCAATCATGAAGGTTCAGATTAACTGGACTGTAAGGAGGCTTGCTCGTTCACTGATATATAGTTGTAACGTAAGTCTTGAACTGTGAACTAAGATCGACCTCTGCGTAGGTCGTTGTCCAACGCGGTCCAATCAGAACAAGGCATTTTGATTCTGTAGAATACCCGCGCTGTGATGTCACCGGTGTAGCAGGAAAAAACCTTGTATAAAATCTTGCCGTCGTTGATATTAGCATAATCGTCGGTCTTCACCGTAGCTTCCCGAAGTTACCCGAGTGACCACGTGTTTCGAGGGTTAAGGTAAAGCTGAAACCTCCGGCGCAAAACCTACCTCGCTCTGTAATATTAATGCTGGGTAGGTTATTTTCCTGGCTGTCGTGAATGTAACTTCAGTTTTGAATATAATTTCGACTTCCTTATATAAAGGTACAATAAACTTGCAAGTTGTCAGCTTGTAGACTGTATACATGAATGTATCGTCATAATTGTAGAATTAAAGCTGAACTTGTACATATTTCTTCTCAGAAAATTTTGACGAATATGAGTTATACTCGCTGTAACTAGGCTGCTGTTCAATTTCGATATTGAATTGTCTGCAGATCTGCGTAATGGTCACGCATGTAGATAATCGTATCAGTAGTCCGATTGCATATTCTAGCAATCTATACGGAAAGGTTGATTTCTGTGAAGATCTATGCAACGTCGTTGATTAATTAATATAGCGGCGTTTTGTGTTGTATATAGCCTGTGCAATTGTCTTCGTAGAGGCTTATAGGCGCATATGGCATACAGTTGATAGACAACTTATGCGATGTCTTGAACGGACTGACGAAGTAGCTATATATGACGAAAGTGGCTAATATATGGAGACCTTGGAGGAGAATTCCTCGGTGGGCGCCGGAGACTTGCGAAGCTCTCGAAGTATCCATTCTAGATTTCCTGTGTGAGGTAGCCTTGGAGCCACTTAGCCTTCGCGACCTTTGAAGGTATCGAATCAGAGCCCGATCAGTATATATATAATATATGGCTTGCTTCACGAGCGACCTCTGTGTTCAACAGGAGTGAGTGAGTGAGTGTTTTGTTTTACGCCGCACTCAGCAATATGTGGGGTCGGTGAAGCGCTACTCCTCTGTGACGTCCCTTGTAACTGGTGAGGCTCTAGCTTCGCTGAGGTGGCCTGGGACTTCCTTAGCGAAGTGTCTAGAATCCGATCAATATATGAGCCGCTAGCTTCATACAGGGTGTGGTTCTTGCTGGTTCTGCATAAGTAGAGCCGAGTAGATCATCCTATCATCTTCAGAATTCGTCACGAAATCTGGTGATAAGAATCTCATTGATCGTTCTAGATCTATTAATGCCAGAACATACGCCTCTGGCGTTTGAACTGTTATGGCTTTATGGTAGGCTGTGTCCACATACTGTGGCACCGCGAGCAATCGAAGTCGTCGGAGGTAAGGTGATGGCGTCTGCCTCGTCTTCCTTTATCAGGTATGTCTGCGCCGAGTTGCCACTCTTGGAAGGTGAAGAGAGATCTAGGTTGTTTACCATCCAATATCGTATCTCAGCGTCTGAGAAAATGATGCCTCCATCATTTTCTATCCCAGCATCGCTGATGAGATGTTGATGCTCTTCTGATGGTGGACTGTGTATTTCTATCTCTATGTCGGGTGACGCTCGGGGAGACCTGACTGTAGACTTGTGTGCAGACTTGTGTGGTGACCTGTGAGACGATCGACGTGGTGATGTTGATCTGCGTCTATGGGTTGACCTTCTCGGAGACCTGTGAGGAGAATGTTGATAGCTTCGCGAAGCTCTTGTGTAGTCAGGTGTCCTTCGCGAAGGCCTTCGCGAAGCTTCCTCTGCGTCCGGTCCTGGGGAACGGCGATTTGACCTTCGCGAAGGCTTCCGTGAGGTCTGATGGTCTGAGTCCGCATCTAAGGATGAAGCCGAGGCAGGTGATGATCTATCCCGCCAAGGCCTTCGCCAGCGAAGGCTGTACATCTGGGTCGCCGTGGAGGTGGTCTGCGACTTCCTTCGCGAAGGTGGCTTCGTCGTGGCTGTTGCAGCTGATAGGGGGGTGCCTCTGGGGTGTCGTCTGCGTTGGAACCTTCGCTGGGCTCAGGCCTTGGGCTGGCTGCTTCCCAGTCTGTAGTGGCCCTCCATCATGATCATGATTTGCCGCAACAGTTCATCTGGGATGGTCTGCGACGAATTAGTCGGTGCCCTCTGGCGATGTTAGCGGGCGGGGCCCTCAGGGAAGTCGTCTGGCGCCAGTGTAGAGACCTCAGGCTGCATGGCGATCTCTGCTGATGTCACTGTAGCTGTCTCCGGTCAGCTTCTTGTGGCGTCGTCGCCGGGATGATGATCGGCTGATCATCGTAGAGGCCCAGTTCAGCGGCTGGAACAATCTCGGTTGAGAAAGTCCTAGTAGACTTCGTTGATTTCCCCTCAGAGGTCGGCGCTGCCCTGGGGTGCTGAAGTCTGCGTTGAGTGTTGGTAGCGACGGGACCCTCAGGAAGATCATAGAATATCAGCGTTGGTACATCAGGCTGCATGTTGATCTGCGCTGACATCACTGTTGTCGACATCGGTCATTCTTTTGATGTACATCAGGTATGATGATCGGCTGATCATCATACAGGCCCAAATCTGCGACGGGAACAATCTCGGCTGAGAAAGTTCAAGTAGACTTCGTTGATTTCCCCTCAGAGGTCGCGTTGAGATGCAGTAGAAACCCTCTAGTCTTCGGCTGCGACGATGGGATGTCTGGGGAAGCAGGACGCTTCTTGGAGGCGGCGGACTACGTCCCACGTCCCACGAGTCTGGCGAGGGGTTCAGGTGTATCAGTCATGGCTAGACTCTGCAAACGCGACCTATCTGCTGCGCGTCTCAAACGCAAAGTAATTATTTATTAAAGGCAGAAATGGATAAATTAGTACCGCAACTGCAACGTGAATAAAATGAACATGGCGCAATACAAATAGGGCATATTAAATGCGGATCAGCAGCAGAATAAAAAAACGTAATCTGCAACAGAACAGAATTTTTATCAACGTAATCCACTGAAACAAACACGGCGTCCCGTGAATAAACAGTAGAAACACGACTAAATATCAATATATAATTGTTGAAGGATACTAGCTAAACCTCTATAGATGTCTATACGAGGTAACTAACTAAATATAATCAAAGGATATAGTGTGTCGGGACACACAGGCGCTCTCACGTCCAGCTCACTGGGCGAAGAAGGAGAGAGTGAGGCACATGGGTGGAGGTGGCGCCCTCGTTCCCGCGCTTGTGGAAGGGAGGTAACTCATGCTGAGTACTAATTAGTGATTTTACATTGAAGGGAGCTTCAATTAGGGAGATACAAGTGTTCCACTATGTTCGCAAGAAGAAGAAGACAAGCAAAAAGAGCATGAGTCAGGATAAGGAAAAATAGTAGTTGTTTCAGCATGTTTCAGTGGGGGGAGGGGGGCGGTCCTGCAAATCTGCTTTTCAAAACCCGAACCAATATGTTTTCAATCCAAGTTCAAAATTCACTTTTGATGAAAAGAAGAACATATATCTGGAGATAAGTGATTAAGGAAAATATTTGTGCATGTGGTACTGACATTTGACAACTAATTCAAATTGACGGCTTAAGATGGAGTCTGAAAAAGTGATATGTCAGTCAAGAATACCAGTCACAAAATGAATTTAGATTGTGGCAAGGCATTTGAAATGATTATATGAGCTAAATAAAAACAAGGAGCTGCATAACAAACTTGTTTAATTTCCAATCCTCACCTTTCCTCATTTCATTATCAGCGGCAGACACTTGTGGCATGGTTGTCTTGGTGACGGGTGCCACACTGACTGTGACAGTGTTTGTACCCCCTCGTTTCGGGAGCTTCAGCCAAGGGGCTTCCCATGCAGACGTTGTCACGGGTGGAGGAACAGGGATGGGGCGGCTGCCAGTGCTCTTCTTTGCAACAGGACGTTTCTTGTGTTCTCCCCCCATGGTGGTAATGGTTGTAGCCAGTTGGGCCCGCTGTGTACCGGCTTCTCGGGCCTGGAGGTACGCTTGGACAGCAGGGTGATTCTGGTTGTACCCTGGGCCCAGAGCCTGGGGTGGGGGAAGGGTAGGTGCTATGGATATTGGGGTAGAGGCAACAGGTGGGGTTGCTGGCTTGTTCATGGATTTATTGGAGATTTCTTCGGACACCCCCCGGGTATACTCAACCAAGGGTTTCCTGTTGGCCTTAGGATCCAGATTGTGGCGCCTAGCCTTGCTGCTTCCTGCTGCCTTGATAGCCTCTGCATTGGCCTACACAACAGAACACCCACATTACTGTACTGACGAGTACCTTATGTAATGTTTGATGCAAGTGGTACATATTGAAAGTAATAAAGAAATCTTGTTTAACGTTGAAGACAAACCTAGTTTCAAGCTACAGTGGAGTAAGTGAGGTAACAACCCTGGTTTAACCTCCAATACTGAGTAAGTTTGTTATATTTAATCTGAATCAGTCAACTGACTGTTGTAACAATTTGTTGCTGTGACAATATGAAGAATCATCAGTCTAAGAAATGTATACCCACCAGTGCCTTAAACAAAGGTTCCAGTCTGGTAGACCCTCTGTATATCGACTCAGTTCGCTTGTCAGCCTGGAAGAACATCTTCACCAGGCTAGCATCCACTTCCATCACCTTAGCTGTCCACCTACAACATGGCACCGTATTCTTGGCATCAGCATGACAACACTGTCAACATGGAATCCCCATCAACATGATGTCACCGATAACATGTCACCAGCATGAAACCACAATCAACATGACACTGACATGACACAAGCATGACAGAGACATGGGACAACAGTCAACATGACCCCAGCATGGAACCAGAGTCAACATGACACCATTATGGGACCACAGTCACCATGACACCAAAATGGGATCACAGTCAACATGACACCCACATGGGACCACAGTCAGCATGGCACCAACATGACACCAGCATGGGACCACAGTCAACATGGCACCAACATCGGACCACAGTAAACATGACCCCAACATCGGACCACAGTCAACATGACCCCAGCATGGAACCAAAGTCAACATGACACCATTATGGGACCACAGTCACCATGACACCAAAATGGGACAACAGTCACCATGACACCAACATGGGACCACAGTCAACATGACATCCACATGGGACCACAGTCGACATGGCACAAACATGGGACCAGTCAACATGATATCAACATGACATCAACATGGGACCACAGTCAACATGACCCCAACATGGGACCACAGTCACCATGACACCATTATGGGACCACAGTCACCATGACACAAACATGGGACCACAGTCAACATGACCCCAGCATGGAACCATGACACCATTATGGGACCATAGTCACCATGACACCAACATGGGACAACAGTCACCATGACACCAACATGGGACCACAGTCAACATGACATCCACATGGGACCACAGTCAGCATGGCACCAACATGACACCAGCATGGGACCACAGTCAACATGGCACCAACACTGGGCCACAGTAAACATGACACCAACATGGGACCACAGTCACCATGACACCAGCATGGGACCACATTCACCATGACACCCACATGGGACCACAGTCAGCATGACACCAACATGACAACAACATGGGACCACAGTCAACATGGCACCAACATGGGACCACAGTCAACATGACCCCAGCATGGAACCAGAGTCAACATGACTCTGTTATGGGACCACAGGCACAATGACACCAACATGGGACCACAGTCACCATTACACCAACATGACACCAGCATGGGACCACAGTCAACATGGCACCAACACTGAGCCACAGTCAACACTGCACCAACATGGGGCCATAGTCAACATGACCCCAGTATTGGACCACAGTCGACATGGCACAAACATGGGACCAGTCAACATGATATCAACATGGGACCACAGTCAACATGACCCCAACATGGGACCACAGTCACCATGACACCATTATGGGACCACAGTCACCATGACACAAACATGGGACCAGTCAACATGATATCAACATGGGACCACAGTCAACATGACCCCAACATGGGACCACAGTCACCATGACACCATTATGGGACCACAGTCACCATGACACCAACATGGGACCACATTCACCATGACACCCACATGGGACCACAGTCAGCATGACACCAACATGACAACAACATGGGACCACAGTCAACATGGCACCAACATGGGACCACAGTCAACATGACCCCAGCATGGAACCAGAGTCAACATGACTCTGTTATGGGACCACAGGCACAATGACACCAACATGGGACCACAGTCACCATTACACCAACATGACACCAGCATGGGACCACAGTCAACATGGCACCAACACTGAGCCACAGTCAACACTGCACCAACATGGGGCCATAGTCAACATGACCCCAGTATTGGACCACAGTCGACATGGCACAAACATGGGACCAGTCAACATGATATCAACATGGGACCACAGTCAACATGACCCCAACATGGGACCACAGTCACCATGACACCATTATGGGACCACAGTCACCATGACACAAACATGGGACCAGTCAACATGATATCAACATGGGACCACAGTCAACATGACCCCAACATGGGACCACAGTCACCATGACACCATTATGGAACCAGAGTCAACATGGCACCAACACTGGGCCACAGTCACCATGACACCAACATGGGACCACACTCAACATGACACCAACATGGGACCACACTCAACATGACACCAACATGGGACCAGTCAACATGACATCAACATGGGACCACAGACAGCAAGGCATCAACATGGGACCAAAGTCAACATGACCCCAGTATGGGACCATAGTCAACATGACACCAGCATGGGACCACAGTCAACAAGGCATCAACATGGGACCACAGTCAACATGACACCCACATGGGATCACAGTCAACAAGGCATCAACATGGGACCACAATCAACATGACATCAACATGGGACCACAGTCAACAAGGCATCAACATCGGACCACAGTAAACATGACCCCAATATGGGACCACAGTAAACATGAGCCCAGCATGGAACCAGAGTCAACATGACTCCATTATGGGACAACAGTCACCATGACACCAACATGGGACCACAGTCAACATGACACCCACATCGGACAACAGTCACCATGACACCAATATGGGACCACAGTCAACATGACCCCAGCATGGGACCACAGTCAACATGACACCAACAGTGGACAACAGTCAACATGGCACAACATGGGACCACAGTCAACATGACACCAATATGGGACCAGTCAACATGGCACAACATGGGACCACAGTCAACATGGCACCAACATGGGACCAGTCAACATGGCACAACATGGGACCACAGTCAACATGGCACCAACATGGGACCAGTCAACATGGCACCAATATGGGACCACAGTCAACATGGCACAACATGGGACCACAGTCAACATGGCACCAACATGGGACCAGTCAACATGGCACCAACATGACACCTACAAGGCACCAACAAGGGACAACAGTCAACATGACACCAATATGGGACCAGTCAACATGGCACAACATGGGACCACAGTCAACATGACACCAACATGGGACCAGTCAACATGGCACAACATGGGACCACAGTCAACATGGCACCAACATGGGACCAGTCAAAATGGCACCAACATGGGACCACAGTCAACATGACACCAGCATGGGACCACATTCACCATGACACCAACATGGGACCAGTCAGCATGACACCAACATGACAACAACATGGGACCACAGTCAACATGGCACCAACATGGGACCACAGTCAACATGACCCCAGCATGGAACCAGAGTCAACATGACTCAGTTATGGGACCACAGGCACTATGACAACAACATGGGACCACAGTCACAATGACACCAACATGGGACCACAGTCACCATTACACCAACATGGGACCACAGTCAACATGACACCCACATGGGACCACAGTCAACATGACACCAACGTGGGACCACATTCAACATGACACCCACATGGGATCACAGTCAACAAGGCATCAACATGGGACCACAACCAACATGACATCAGCATGGGACCACAGTCAACAAGGCATCAACATCGGACCACAGTAAACATGACCCCAGTATGGGACCACAGTCAACATGACCCCAGCATGGAACCAGAGTCAACATGACTCCATTATGGGACAACAGTCACCATGACACCAACATGGGACCACAGTCAACATGACAACCACATGGGACCACAGTCAACATGACACCAACATGGGACCAGTCAACATGGCACCAACATGGGACCACAGTCAACATGGCACAACATGGGACCACAGTCAACATGGCACCAACATGGGACCACAGTCAACATGGCACCAACATGGGACCACAGTCAACATGGCACCAACATGGGACCATAGTCACCATGACACCAACATGGGACCAGTCAACATGACCCCAGCATAGGACCGGTCAACATGACACAACATGGGACAACAGTCAACATGGCACAACATGGGACCACAGTCAACATGACACCAACATGGGACCAGTCAACATGGCACAACATGGGAGCACAGTCAACATGACACCAACATGGGACCAAGTCAACATGACACCAACATGGGACCACAGTCAACATGGCACAACATGGGACCACAGTCAACATGACACCAACATGGGACCACAGTCAACATGACCCCAACATGGGACCACAGTCAACATGACACCAACATGGGACCACAGTCAACATGGCACCAACATGGGACCACAGTCAACATGACACCAACATGGGACCAGTCAACATGGCACAACATGGGACCACAGTCAACATGGGACCAGTCAACATGGCACAACATGGGACCAGTCAACATGGCACCAACATGGGACCACAGTCAACATGACACCAACATGGGACCACAGTCAACATGGCACAACATGTGACCACAGTCAACATGGCACCAACATGGGACCACAGTCAACATGGCACCAACATGACACCTACAAGGCACCAACATGGGACCATAGTCACCATGACACCAACATGGGACCAGTCAACATGACCCCATCATAGGACCGGTCAACATGACGCAACATGGGACAACAGTCAGGACCACAACACATGACCACAACATGGGACACCAACATGACAGTCAACATGGGAGCACAGTCAACATGGCACCAACAATGGGACCAGTCAACATGATATCAACATGACACCAACATGGGACCAGTCAACATGGCACAACATGGGACCACAGTCAACATGACACCAACATGGGACCAGTCAACATGGCACAACATGGGACCAGTCAACATGGCACAACATGGGACCACAGTCAACATGGCACCAACATGGCACCTACAAGGCACCAACATGGGACAACAGTCAACATAGCACCAATCAATCAATGCACACTGTTTTGAGACTGCTTTGAATTAAGTTCCAGTATAAGTAACTGTCATCATAGATGCCTACCACCTCGTAGTCTTAGCCCCCATCAGCACATCCTGGCTAAGGGATGCATCTCTGGGCAGCAGAGTGCAGTATCATGGATAATTTGATCACATAGACAACATAAGAGACTAGTAGCATGTTATACATTCACAACAGACCAGAATGAAACTACACTGAAACTATTAAACAAACTTAACAGGTAAACAACAATTTTTCTTGGTAATCAGTAGGACAGTCACACATACCACTTTCCGTTCCACTCGGTCCTGACAACCTGACCCTTCAACAGACGCACCATCGGCCTCTGAAAAATTCCATGGAAACATATTCATTGTCATGCCATCATAGAAATAACAGCAACAATAGTACTCTTAACATAGGGAGTTTACCATTTATTTCACTCTTTGAGTCTTTGAAGGATAACAACTTTTACACCTAAAATAGTTAATAATCTCAAGTAAATCAATGAAATACTTGATATTCTAAAACAGTGTTTCAGCATTTTTAATCTTCCAACAGCATAAGAGAAGCTCTTTTCTGCACCTGCTCACTCATCTGACATCTTGATTAGCAACAACTCAGAATGTTCAGAGAAGATTGAGCAAATATATCTGTTAGCTCCTTGATGTTATCCTTCAAATAATACAACACTGTTTATGTGTCACACTGTTTGTCACTGTCAGTGATTACCTCTGGGTACTGTTTGAGGTATTCTTTGATAAATTCCTGAGAATCTGGGTGAATATCTTCCCACACATTGTCACCTGAAAGAACAATATTAACGAAGGTGTAGTACATTGTGTAATAGACAACTTTATAGGTAACTTCCATATGGTATTATATCAATAATGTGACATTATCTTAAAGTAAATTGAATGTTTTGACAGAATACTAAGTGAGTTCCTGTTTCTAAGCCAAGACTCATATATCATAAACTGCCTTAATAAACATACCATGTGCACTATAATAAGATTAGCATCAACAGCAACTCCTATTATCTGGTCAAGGGAACTGTTTAAAGTGTTGTCTTTCACAAACTACAATCAATCATCTAAAAACTTTCAGTCATAATTTCAGGCCTGTTAATGCCTCTTTAAGATGCTAACTATAGCTTTCAGGCTATGCATCATAGTTCTTCACATACACACATCAGCCACAACGCCATACACCAGTCAGCTGTCATTACATATTTTGCCTAAAATAGGGAAAGGGAGGCAACTGCACACTGCTGTTGACAAAACTCATACAAAGTTGCTGAGATACAGTTCTATGTTATGAAAACATGCAAAGGTGAGAAAGTACACGGTATCATTTTAAACTATGACTTTTGTAAAATTACAGTTCCTTTTAAGAACTACATGTATATACAATGTATTTTCAAGGTAATTTAAGGCTTTTCTAGTCTATTAGATATTGTTAGTATACCATGGTACTTGTTAATGTGCGAACTATTTGTCCATTTAACCAGTGTGACAAAGTAATCCCTGTTGGTGGCAGATTTATAAAGTACAAGGTGACTCACTTTGATGGCAGACCTTGTGAATCTCCTTGGGGTAACAATACTGTGCATACCCATCGTCAAAGAATATCAGATATCTGAAAGAAGAGAGTGATGATGAGTCAGTAGACAGTGCTGGTCACACACATACTCTACAAGCTCTGTATTATCCATAAGGGTGTTTACTTACAGTTCTGCAGATGATTTCAGCAAATGTCTTATTGGTCATGAGTGAAGTGATAAAGAGTCATGGGCTTCACTAATAATAAGCATAATGATTTCATATGATTTTCAAAACTTTTGTCCTAAAGATAAGGATAGTGTTGTGAATGAATTCAGAAAAGCGTGAGTTTAGTTTTACACCGCACTCAGCAATATTCCAGCTATATGGCAGCAGTCTGCAAATAATCAGACAATCCAGTGATCAACATCATAAATGTTGATCTACACAATTGGGATGTGATGACATGTGTCAACCAAGTCAGTGAGCCCAACCATCCGATCCTGTTAGTGGCCTCTTACAACAAGCATGGGCTAGTGAAGATCAGTTCTTCACAATTCAGAAACACTAGACTAGACAAGATTAACACAATAATTCTTTATTCATTGTTGCGGCATTGTCATTCTCTCATTTCATAGTATTCTAAACAATGATTCTTAATGACAGTTTCTACCGTTTTTGGTTCTTGACACTTGGCGCCTCGGCCACAATCCCAGCATAGAAGGAATTGGGACCATTTGCTTCATCATCTCGATACAGGGCTGGAACACAGTGACAGAAGACGGCTACTACACTGAGGAAACCAGAGCACAGGCTGACACACCATGGGCCAGGAAAAACATGGGACAGACAACAAAGTTGCAATTTAGTTCCAAGTTAGTGAGTTGGGTTTTACACAGCTTTTAGCAATATACCAACAATATCATGGTGAAGGTGACTGGAAATGGACTTCACACAATCTACCCATGTGGGGAATCCAACCCAGGTCTGGAGCCTATTCTGACCTGAATTCCCCATGGGGAGACAAGGATTGGTTGCTGTGGCCTATTCTTACCTTGAATACCCACAGAAGCCTTTCTTGTTAATACATGGCTCTTAAATTGAGTACTGCAGACTGTACCCAATCAGGTTGAGATATATGAATGACTCTAATTTCAGTTACTACTTGATGATCTGACTACTTAGTGGTCTGGTTTAGAGCATAGAGTATGTACCAGGTTACACTTGACACTGACATTTACCATATTTTACCTCAGCTCACTAATTTTGAGTGTGGTAAGGCCGAGAACTTACCAACACATCTTGATCCCACCTTCAGCACTACATGTATTGGATCCCTGTAAGCAATATGCTTCCCAGAGAGAATCTTCATGCCCTTGCCATCAAACTTCACCTTATATTTTCTCTGAAAACACAAACAATATCACCACGTTCAGTCTCAATAATATTTCTGATGTCTTTCAAGCAAAGATCACGAGTTCCATGAGGGCCTACAACTAAAAGGTGTCTCCTTTGCAATCTAATGATTTTGCAGGATTGATCAATGCATGATCTGTTAAGAGGCCGACTGATCAATTTAACAACTTCAGACAAAATCATTCAGAAGTTAGGAACAGTACAAAGATTAAGGAAACATAAGTATTAGGAAGTTAAGAACATAACAATGTTTAGGAAGCGATACTGACCACATCTGGTGGATCCAACTTGTTGACAATGTCAGTTATTGTGCCCGAGTACCAGATATCATTGAACTTCTTGGCAAGAACTTTAGCCGTAATTTCCACCTCTTTCCTGAAGGCAATATGGATACGATGAAGTACAAGCAGCAATTAATAAATAATACTAGTAAAGCATTTCACTTAACTAATAACACCAGAGAAAGTTGTTTGTTGTTGTTTTGTAGGGATAGTGACTGACTGAGTTTGGTTTTACGCAAATATCAAACTGAGTTTGACGCAGCGCTTTTAGCAATATTCCAGCAACTTCTCGGCAGGGGACACCAGAAATGGGCTTCACACATTGTATGCCCATGTGGGGATTCGAACCCGGGTCTTCGGCGTGACGAGCCAACGCTTTAACCACTAGGCTACCCCACCGTCCCTGTAGGGATAGTGTGACCTGTGTCACATGATTAGCACAAGTTGGAATCAAGTGAGATCTCAAAGTCCAGAAAATAGACCAGAAGGACTTGTACAGTAATCCCAACATTATCAGATTTGAAGCATAACATGCATGTTGGTGATTATTATGAATGAACAGTGTTTTACTCTGTGCTGAGTTAATAATAATAATAATATGGACATTTGTAGAGAGCAGTATAGTAGTAACTCCACACCTCAAGGGCATGCTCTTTGAGCAACAGTAAATATGTACACTATATACAGTTACAAGTATCCCAATACTAACCAGTCCTGAGTTGAAGATGAGCTTTTAGATTTTGTAGAAACTTTGGGCAGGATTGCAACAGGTCCTGTCTTGGGAACTGTGCATGTGATGGTGGTGTTGAGTTGCTTCTGCAGGGGAGACAACTCACCCTTCTGGGCTTGCTGGAAGTTGAGTGAGTGAATGAGTTTACTTTGATGTGGCCTTTAGTAATAATCAATGAATATCATGATAGAGATGAGGGCATGCCACACTGTACCAACGAGAGGAAAAATCACATATTGATGAGACAAACCAATATTTGCAAGGATTTATCTTGGAATACAAACAAAATATCTCTGGCAGGTAAATTGTGAAACTTACAGTCACACCATAAAATGCTTAATTTTACATTCTTGAAAGATAGATTGGAGCCCTGCATGTTGCCACTTGCAAACATTATGTTGTTTTCCAACAGACAGAGTAAACATATGACACCATGAAAGGTAAATACGAACTATGTGATGAGTCAATATTCACGGTCAGTGTCTGTCACTGCTTTTGTCCAGACCTTCTACGGGCAGTTTTCTAATTAGAAGGTTTCCATTGAAATTTATATTTCTTCATGCATATGACCCAATCTATGAAACCTAAGAAATTTCAAAGACCCCTAATTATTTTAATATAGTCAATATGTTGTAAAGAAACTGACATGGGCACAGTGTCAGACATAACATAATCATAAGTACTCATCTGTGACAGTGGCCTGTAAATATGCAAACATGTGATTGATATTATGAGCAATTATTCACAGGTGTCTGAAGGCTATCAACAGAGTCACTGACTACGTCACTGAGCCTACTGACCACCAAATCGACTCTAATCTTAGGCCAAAATAAAATATATGTCCGTTTCCTATTACATGCTTTTTAAAAATAGGGTAGGTAGGTCAGTTTTATCTTTCTTTTATTACTTTTTTTTTTATTTTATAGTGGCATCAGGTCTGAGGTCTTCAAGGATACCATATCATGTAGTGACAATGCCTTGTGATGAAACATTGAAAGATTTCTATATCAAATCTTTATTTATGTTATTTATTTGCAGATTTGGTCAGTGAGGACCCATTATGCCAATTCAGTGCAATCCATTTTAGCCCTACGTACACTGAAAAACATGAAAATATCATAATCGATTTGGATGAAAATGATGAGTTGAAATGCACTCCAGTCATGATATTGACTTGGTTAAAAAAAGATTTAGGGGTGGGGGGTGGGGGGGTGTTAGAATAGGGTCGGTCGGGTTACCGGAAACGGACATATATTGTATTCTTGGCCTTACCACAAGCATAGGCTGAGGGACAACTCCAAACCCAGTATACCCACAGAAATCCCTTATAAGAAGAGGTGACCTTACTGAGGATGTGTTGGTCACAATGGCTGACGGGGATGTTCACAGAGATAGTATTGTGGGTACCTGTTGTAGCTGTAGAAGTTGAGCCTGAGACTGAGCATGTGCCTGTGAGCCTGGCATCTGTTTGTTGATAGCCTCTGTGAGGATAGCTCTCAGGTGAGCCACGGACACCTGGCCTGACACTCCAGCTGCCATAGGGGTGCTGCAACAGGGAGTCGGTGAGTATGGTGTAATACTCTTCACATTCATTCATGGAGGCAAACCTCCGTTTAAGTGATAAATGTCTATTTATTTATGAAAGCTTTCCTAACAGTAAGTTTCCAGTAAGAAATGTTTTCTGGAATCACAGGGTCCCAACACAGTCCTACTACAGTGACACTGTGAGTGAGTATGGTTTTATCCCAGCAATATCATGGCGGGAGAACACCAGAAAATGAGCTTCACACATTGTACCCATGTGGGGAATCGAACCCGGGCCTTTGGTGTGATGAACGAACACTTTAACCGCTGGGCTACTCCACCGCCCCTCCTACTACTACAGGGTGGTTGAATCTATACTCAGAAATAGGATACAATAACCATCCAATCAAAAGCTTGGATTTCTGTATAACTCCTAATGAAGACATAATGAAACATGCATACATGTCTTTCATTGGTTTAGCAGCTAAATTCATGTTACAAAAATAGGCTTAGGCATGTGGCAACTTGGATTTAAAAATCACCAACACAAGTAATGTAAATGTCTCTCCAAGCACATCACCTAGTTGGTCAATACATCTCTGGTTTCCCAACACCCAGTAATATACAGATTATATAGAAAAGATAAATAAGGCACTACATACATGACATTCTGTGTGAGAGTAGGTGTCTCAGGTTGTGATGCTGGTGCATCTGCTTGCTTGACTGGTTGTTTGGCAGCAGGCCTGGCAGCCATGTGTGCCTTGATGATTGCCTTTCTATTGGCAGCAACATTTGGATCAAAAGATGACCCAATGATTTCAATATCATCATCACTGTCCTCCACAAGATTTAGAACCTCTGCTGCCTCCTCTGCTTCACGCAACTTCTGCTTCCGTTCGGTTTCCTGTGCCTCAGCTACAGCTGCTTCCGCCTCCTTCTGTCTCTCACTGTAACCATGGCAACACATCAACCATAATGTCACACACCATCAAAGAACCAAATACAAGAAGAAATATCAGCTGCATCAATATCTGCAAGAGAGGCTATTCTAATCATACATCTGTTTCTATAAGAACATAATTTTATAAATTACCAAGTCACTTTGATCAACAGTGCTTGAGATGTCTCTACTGCGACCTCTCAGAAAGGTATATGGCCCTCCTTTATCATTTGGAAGACTATGGATTCAGGCCCCAATACTTATGATACTGATAGTGTTTATTTTCACAAATGAAAGTGACTTGTCCATTTACTAACATCAATCTGAAACCATGTCATCAACATATAATTCAGCTGTAACTTACTCCTCATCTTCCTGCTCCAGTCGGAGGGTCTCCTGATATTTGTCCAAATGGTCTTGACACTCTTGGAAATATTCTATTTATCTCCCGTTGTTTCCCTACAAGAAAAGGAGATCACTGACGATCACTAAAATACTGCAGTTGACATTCACAAAAGTGTCATGAAAACTCTTAATGTTGGTAGTCTCTATGTCCTCTTTCACAACCATTAACATCTCAGAGGAGTACACAAGTTCCATACGTATCACTAAGAGAGTGAGAGGATTCACCACTTTGAACAGTATTTCAGTCATACATGCCAGCACTGATGTAGTATTATAACTAGGAAGAAAGTAATGCTGTATGTTAGTGCTTACTTCTTATGCATCAGTACTCTATCAATCAGACAGGGGTGTTGATCATATGAATCTACTAGTGTTTCCCCAAGGCATTTTAGCAGGTTGCAACACCCTGGCCTTTATACTTGCTGCTCTGCCCTTCTTTGAGTACAATAATTGATATCAACACTTGGTGGTTTTTAGTTTCTATTTCATGTTAATGTTTAGTGAAATAACTGTGTTCTTTGAGTTTATAAGCATTTTATGCATGGATAAGTTAACATAATACTTGGCAATCTGTCATTGCATGACCTTTTTGGAATAAGGATGCCCCTTTTGAAATTCTGTCGCCCTGCCCTTTTCAGATCCTGGGTGTAACACGTTCTACTTACGTTCTATCTGCCGGACCTGGGTGTTGAACACATTGAGCTCATCAGGGTCCTCGTCCGGCTCCTGTTCCAAAATGGAGGAGATGAGGTTGTCAAGGTCATTCTTGACAACCCGGTACATCTGCTCCTCCTCCTCAGCAGCGTCCATCTCACTGAAGAAGACAATCAGCACAATGACTACACAATCATGACACAATCACAACAATTACAACACAATCATGACACAATTACAGCACAATCATGACACAATTACAACACACAAAAATGACACAATTACAGCACAATCATGACACAATTACAACACAATCACAACAATTACAGAACAATCGCTCTAACAACAAAATCACAACACAATCATGACACAAACATCACAATATCCTTGCAGCATCCCAGCACAATCACAACAATCACCTATTAACATGATTAAGTGTTACAGTCTCAAAGTGACTTCCTGCATCACATTCAGCTTTCAGTAAGCAATGGTAAACTAATGTTTTCTTAATGTAAAGATTATGCCACACACAAACAGCTTACGTGAATAAAACACTGAATATCAATAGGTATATGCAAAACAAACCAATTGTTTTTGTGTACTGATGCTATGACACATGACCAAGATATGTACTTTTGACCTTTTTCCTCACCATCTTCTTTCTACTTGGAGTAAGTGGCTGTGTGGCTAACACTAAACATGAAACCCATCACAAACAGCATCCCCTATCACAAAACACTTCTTATTGTCATGGGTTTTATTTACAAGCTAAATGCCTCTCGTGATCCCCTCCAAATAAACTTTAACATTTTCCTTTTACAATAAAAAAGCTACTGATAGTGTGTGCTGATGCTTGTCCAGAATAGATTTGATTTGATTTATACATATAAAAACATCTGATACACAGCTTGGAATTAAAGACTGTTACACCTTTAAACTGCTACAAATTTATACTTTTAGGGGTTTTTTTTATGAAATTAGACTCAACATTAGGTAATTGAATAAAGTGAATGAGTGAATAATACTTCATGATGCATTTTACAGCTATTTGCGGTGAACTGAAGAAAGGCAGACCTACAAACTAAGATTTCATCACTTGTGGAGCCAAGGTCAGTGCCTCAGAGCAGTGTAAACCTAGTAATGAGGTGCTGGGTCATTGTGGGAACTGGGTACTACAGATGTACCCAAAACCTTTGAGGCTACAAGCTAAAATTTGGCTCTCAGTAGTATTTTCAGTTGCTCTTTGTGTTATTGCAGGAACATAAATTTCTCAGTTTATCAGACCAAACAGAATTGTACAAGCCTCATACTATGGACGCGTGTCTAAAGTCAGACAAATGCAACCTAGCCTGGTGATACATTTATGGTCTTTTTACACAAAGCCAGTTTCACTTGAGGTATTATCTAAACTTTTTTTTTTTTTTTTTTTTATTATCTAAACTTAGCCATGTGTGGGATATGCCATAAGTGTGGTGTTGACCTTAATCACCAGAACTAATTAATGTTAATCCCCAATAATCTTCAGAGCCATAAATACTGCTGCACAAGGGTATAACAGGACTGATGGAAACAGCACAGTTGTAGCATATTGCACATGTGACTAAGTTTACGTGACAACCAAGGTGAAACTGGAGAGAGTGAAACTAGTGCCACACATATAAATCCAGGCCTGGTTAGATATCTGCAGTACCTGTGCCAATAACAATGCCTGATCCCAAAAGTGTTATGACAGACATTCCTGTATATGCTATATGGTTTGTTTCTTCTTGTGACCTGTCCACATGGAACAAAACATGGGATCGTATTTAATAATATCCGTCGTAAGGTTCTGCAAACATGTACGTAATCTCCTTTACAGACATTTCTGTGGCAGTTGATAGCAGCTGAAAAGAAAGTTATCTCTTGATCTGATGCCACAGCTTGTCAATAGTGAGTGAGTCTAGTTTTACACCGCACTCAGCATTTTTCCCCGCCATATGGCGGCGTCTGTAAATAATCAACTCTGGACCAGACAATCCAGTGATCAACAGCTTGATCATCGATCTACGCAATTGGGATATGATGACATGTATCAACAAAGTCAGCAAGCCTGACCACCCGATCCCATTGGTCATCTCTTACTACAGGCATGGGTTGTTGAAGACCAATTCTAACCTGGATCTTCACCTGTCAGCTTATCAATAAAGTCTATACACTATTGACAGGTAAGTTGGTGTTTTCAATCATCTCTGAGGGTTTGTAAGGGCAATAGAATGTATCATGAGTCTGAAGGACATGCACTGAATAACAATACTATAAATATACCCAGTGTTTACAGGCATGGCTCATGTAATGACACCACTGCATGAAAAACAGAGATGTGCATTAAGGAAATTCACTGGGCTGAAAACACTTTTCATCTTTAGACACTGGCAAATCTTCCTCACTATCAGCACTATATGAAAGACTAACACTAGTAACAGGGCCTGGTATGTTTAGCTTTCTTTTTAGAAGGTGTAGCTGACATATGTGACTTTGCTGATCGTTTCTTGGATTGTAACTGACTTTTTAGAAGATCTTAATTTCTTTGAGATGCATTTAGAAGATGAAGCAAAAGGAAGGATAACAACATATGGATGAACAATTTCTTAATTACAGTGAGAGCAGATTTGGGTGGTTCTAACACCATTATCAAGCACCTGCTTCCTTAGAAGTTTTTAACCTGATTTTCGATCTCTGGTTCAGTTTTGGCTTTGGCTCTAACTATCTTTTGGACTGACTGATTGATTAAACCATATAACCATTTCCCAGATAAAGAATGTTCTAGGCCACGTTTTCTTAACTGACAAGTAAAATCAAACTTTAACTCTTTCTCTCAGTGTTTGCTCAGGTACAAACAGGTTCAATGCCACTTTCTCGACTGAAACATTACTGTTTTTTACTTGTAATTAAGCATTAGTCAAAACTGTAGGCAAATATGTTTTGTATCTCTGAAAGCATCAGTGAACCCTATGAAAATGAAAAAAAGCTATAAAGGATGGCCTGAAAATGTTCCGTAGTCATTATATTCTGACAGTGGATATTACTTTACAGCATATATCGGACCCATTTATCTTATTGTTTATTGACACCTATACAAGCAGACGACGAAATGTGAGAAGGTTGTTGCTTACAGTATCTTTTTTTCTTTTCTTTAAAATTTGTAAACTTAAGATTTGGTACTACTGATGATGGACAAATTATCACAGATTTGGACCATTCATTCTGTGTACTTACATCTACTGCTGTGATTCAGAACATCTTTTTCAGCAAGGTCTGTTCATCAAAAGTACCGCTGCATGACGTCATACGAGACTTAATTTACGAGATATCACGAAAATGACCGCGGTCCATGAATCAAGGTTATCTGTGAATTTAGGTAACGGCTCTGTATCACCTTTAACAACACTAAAGTAAATCCTGGTCTCTTGAAACACATACGATACCTATTAAATATCGGGAGGCCAATAAACAAGTGTAATAATCCAAAAATATGTTATGTGGTCCAAATATGACAACTTGTACAAACGTTTAATTGATGAACATATTTAACTGAGAAATCACATAATTCTGTTTTGGTCATATTTCAATATTCCTAAACATCATGAAATCAAGAAATGTCATAAATAAGACGTGCGTTTCAAAAACACATGCACTCAGTAAAAGCAAACACTCTTTTGCGGCAAACTAATGTATGATAGTTTTTCACAATACAGAATTTATTTATGGTCTTGAAAAGTAGTTACTTACCCTATTTGTTATCCAAATAAATGCCGTCTTTTCCAAATCAACAAAAGCGACGCCATGAACAAAGCGATGCCTCGAGAGTTATCTCCTCTTGTTAACTCTCATTCAATCGGAACCTTCATTTGATTCCTCCTGTATGCTACTGATACCCTGAACGTTGTCACCATTCCCTCTTATCGCTCCTATTCCAATTCCAACTTTATACAATGATATATGAAAAATGAGTATAACGTATTTTGTAAATTTCGAGAAAAGATATACTTGCATTTCACTTTGTAAACGAGAGGACACAGTAAATGTCATACGACCCTTTCTCTACATACAAAAGACTCATTTATGAAACTTTACTTGTTCATTAAGGTACATCTTTTATGAAAACTATTTCTAATACATAAAAGAAATATTCACAACAAAATCGAATCAATATCACTTCAATAACTTTTTGAGTTTGTAGAGGTACCGAGTGGTATAATATTTCTATGTTCTTGTGAATTTTATGTTACGATAAAGGATTTAGGACAATAAGGTTTACCATTAAATAGAACTAAATTTAACGAGTTAAAGAGTTGTTGATGATAATGATATCAACGATACTAAACAAATATAACTCCCTAATTTGTGATATTTCATGTAGTGAACTTCAATACTGCTCTGCCTCGAAACACAAGGTCGTTACATCAGCGGCCAATGGTCAAGACTTCAAACAGCATTATCATCATTACCGAAATATCTGGTATTCATAGCATTTCTCAACTCCCTGAGGAGCCTACAACCCAAGAAGCTAGTTTTGCGATATATGGTCGGCAAAGACATTAAAAAAACTTCACTACAGCTTGTTCAGTTTGACCTGATCAAGTAAATACTAATGCATTGCGTGACCGTGTCACAACTGGTTGGGTCTATTATTGTGAAGGGGTGCACCTTTGTCAGTGGATTGTCAACATGGCCGAACAGAGGAGACAGGTCGCCGTTTAACATTCTCTGCTCCCCTATTTAATGAAGTTAACTCGACCTCCCGGGTCATGCATATGTAGAGTATCTCAGGTCAAGCTGAACAAGCTGTAGGTACCTGGCAAACAAGGATAAGTTGGACCGGCGCAGAGAACGCGTTTACGAGAAGTAGGCGGTGCACGGCAGTGGTCCAGTCCCACCCACCCCTGTCTCTCTCTCTCTCTCGCCCTCCCTCTCCTCTCCTCTCTCTCTCTCTCTCTCTCTCTCTCTCTCTCTCTCTCTCTCTCTCTCTCTCTCTCTCTCTCTCTCTCTCTCTCTCGCTCTCTCTCTCTCTCTCACACAAACCTTTTGAAAATGACAAGACCACATTGACGTTAATCTTTGCTTAGTTTCTATGTGGAAACCAAATGGCTTAATCGCGTTTCGTGCTGCTTGCCCGCGAAATGTTATTGATGTTTATCATGCTGTGTAATCATATGTCACTAGGTTAAGTAAAGCAGATTATAGGAATCTATGTATATTTATAAATATATAATTTAAGCTTGAAATTAGATGGTCTACTACAACTAGTACTCCTACTACTGCTACAGCTACTACTACAGGGGCGGTAGGGTAGTCTAGCGGTTAAAGCGATCGCTCGCTCGTCACGCCGAAGACCCAGGTTCGATTCCCCACATGGGTACAACGTGTGAAGCCCATTTCTGGTGTCCCCCGCCGTGATGTTGCTAAAAGCGGCGCACAACTAAACTCACTCACTACTGCTGCCACTGACACCACTACCCATTGTGACTGAAGGGGGTCCCTAATGTGACTGAACCCCCTGAACACCGCCCCACTCTCCACCCCACCCTTGAAAATCCCGCCTATGCTACCACTAGCCATTACGTATCGTTGGGGTAGAATCGTATACTCCTACTAAATTTGAATATAGTCTTTGTGAGTGTATATTTATGAAAGATTTGTATCAACAAACTTCTTTAACCTTGCAATCTGTTTACATGTATATATTCTTTTCGAATGTACGATTTTCTTATGTCATTCAGTCATTATTTTTACATGTTTTGCAAACACTGACATTATAGCGTAAAAAGTAATCTAACACAAACTTTTTGATTGACTCAAATGCTAATATTGACAACACTCGGTTCGTCAGTCTCATGTTCTCTCGGTAGCGGACTTAACCGATCAGATCTGAGTGTCGAAAGCAGCTTTCTTCGTAAAGGTGAAGGTCTGGGGATTCCCTTTTGAAAACGAGGCTCTGGGATATTCCTCATTTTTCTGTGCCTAAGGCTCGTTGTTGTGAGCAACATGTGATGGCTGCAATTCTATGCAAACTTCCTCTACGAATGACATCATCGCCGAACTCTCACAGATTAAGCACAGTCCTCAATCATATAATAAAGATGGACGGCAGATCACAGAGCACGGCCGGAATCATTGGTAAGGCCTGGGTATCTTAGGGGGGGCGAAGGTCGTTTTGCACCAGTTTTAACTTAGGGTACACATATCTACTTGTTAGATTTGTTTATGATAAAGATCACAAGATTATTTCATCTTGCGTTTTCAAAATTTGGAAATATAGTATCAGCATAGATTTCTTCTTTATTTCTGCCAATTTAGCAAATGAGGGATACTTATGTAATTGTATTTTTTATACACACAAATCATATCATTATTGACCCATTTAATATTCCAGTCATTGGTGATGAGATTCTGAAAGGGCAAACAGCTGACACCAACTCAAACTTCATCTGCAAACACCTCTTCAGTCTCGGTGTCACAGTGAAAAAGGTAGGAATTGATGTTTCAGTTCCAACTTTATATAGTGATTTACGTTATTTTATTTAACATGCAGTAGTCCAACTCAAGGCAGTAATGATTTATTAAGTCTTGATTGCATCAGATTTTGGCTGAAATTTAGGATTGTTCCTGATTTCGTTTAGATTTCAATTTTGTCAATATGTAGTGTTTTAAATAAGAAAACTGTATTTCTGGTGTTGAATATCGGTCTTGTATGAATGCATATATAAGACTTGGTTTGTGTGAATAGCTAGACGGTCTTAGACTCTTATAGACCCCAGAGCACATACTGAATAAAACTAACAACCCCGTTCAGTTTTCTCCCCCTCCTCACAATGATCCCCTATTCAGGTCTTTGGATGTCCATAGCTGAGATGTGTCACTTGTTGCTTTTTTCTATCTGTCATTCTTGTAAGTATCCAGTGAGATGTTAACCAAAAAATTAGATTGATTAAAAGAGAAGATCTGGACTGATGTCAAGAAAATCTTTGTACTGATAAATAGAGAATGTTTGTATTGAAGATAAAAGAAGCCCTTAGATTGATGTAAAGAGAAAATCTGGACTGACATAAATGTGAGGTGTATAAGACTAATGTAAAAAATGTTATATTTTGGTGAAAAACTGTACTTTATACACAAGACAAAATTGTAGATAATCCATGGCTAATTCTCAATGGGTCTCAGTTTGCTGTCTAAAACTGCATACCTGATGTGTGACTGTGCTGGAATCCTGGTTGACCCAGATAATGCATCTTGATGATCTTGGGTTTAGAAGCCTAAGACCTGCTCCACTTCCAGCTTTCCACCAACATCTTATAACTGAAACTTTGTTCAATCAGCGAAAAACCAAACTGACTTAGGGACCGTTCATAATTTACTCTCTGTGTGTGTGTGTGTGTGGTGTGATGATGATTTTTATGGAGAAGCATGTACAATGTGAATGACCCCCCCCCTAAAATATATGTACAAAATAAGTGACCCCCCTGCATGTCATGTACAAAATCAATGACCCTCCCCTTCCCATAATTTCTAAGCATCATTTTAAACATATTTTTATGTACAAAATTGTTGACCCCCTAGTACATGTGTACAAATTGATGAGCCCCCTAGCTCCCCAGAAAAAAATGGGTGACCCCCTTAAAATCATCATCTCACACACACACACACACACACCAGCCATAAATTATTAACGGTTCCTTATTCACAAGATTTCTAACAGCAGTGCATGCAGTGATGCATCTGAAACATCTGTAAAGTTAATCAGCCCTGTCTCAATTCCAGATCTCTGTAATTGGCGATGACAAGGATACAATAGCTGAGGAGGTAGCTCATTTCTCGAATTCCTATACCCATGTCATTACATCTGGGGGGATTGGCCCAACACACGACGACAAAACACTGGAAGGTAAATGTCGAGTCTGTCAAGACTTTGTCTGTGTGTATATGGCAAATTCCATACAATCAGATCTGTTTCTCCTGTATTATATATCTCTGCAACAAGATCTGACAACTGCTACACAGATTGGGAACTTTCAAACTGACCAATCAGCATTGAGTCTCCTAAATTGTTGGTATGAATGAGCAGCATGCATGAATTCTGTGTTGCATATACAAACTAAATAGGCCAGTTCCAAATGTCAATAATAAGCACTGCACCATAGCATTGTTAACAGTATCTTGTCTAGTTTCGGGGCACCTTGACATCCACTTCCAGACTTTCCACCATCAGAGGAATATTGTAGCCTGTGTGTTTTTGTGTCATAAAATGAAAAACTTGAAACTAAGTTTGTAAACAAATGAAATGAAATTGTTATAGAAAGATGACATCCTGTTGGCTAAATAAGGGCACATATCCTTCATCTTGACGAGTCAGTCCAAGTTTGTATGGCTTCACTTGATATGGCCTTGTAATGAGGTGTTCTCAAAGATAGTGAAGTTTAATGAAAATAATGTATATTCTGCACAGCACTCATTGCCTCAGTGAGATATTCAGGCAGTGATGCCAACCTACGATTTTATCGTATTCGTTAACAAAAAAACAGCACAAAATACGCTAGTATGATAGCAGTAAAAATATACGATTTGTTAATAAAATACATTACATTAAATTATCCAATAGCATACGTACCATACACATTAAATTTCAACCATATTTTATTCAGTATCAAGCTATATGTGGATACTTAATACTGATTTAGGTGAGTACACATTTAATAACAAGCTCTTAGAATATCTGTATATTTATTTATTAAATATGAAAAATGTTTGGAAAAATTAATACTAATTTTTGCCCAAAATACTTATTTTTGCATCAGTTTTTGGCCAAAATACTAATTTGGCTAAATTAGGGTTGGCATCTCTCTTCAGGTCACAGAACACACAATCTCAAATTGTTTTGTTTTTGTACCCTGCTGCAACATGGAATGGGGGACTATGTATTCAGCAGCATCTCGATTCTTGTTAACGCGATGTCTCATGAACTGTTGTACCCAATGTCTTCAAATTTGGGGACAGCCTACATTTGGGGATTATGCAGATACCAGTCGATTTGGGTGACCTTGATCTTATTTTCAAGGTCAACATGACACTTTTAGCATTTATCAGTCCCGATTCTTAACGAGCTTTCTCATGAACTGTTGTACCCAATGTCTTCAAATTTGGTGACAGATTACATTGGGGGATTACACATGCAGACGCCAGTCAATTTGGGTGACCTTCATGTTATTTTCAAGGTCACCACGAAACTGACCACTTTTCAAGCTCTTGTTAACGTGGTATCTCAGGCAGTGTTGTATCCAATGTCTTCGCATTTTGTGACAGCTTACATTGGGAGATTATGCAGACACCAGTCGATTTGGGTGACCTTGACCTTATGTTCAAGGTCACCATGACACTTTGACCACTTTTTAAACTTATGTAAACATAATATCTCATGAATTTTAGCCTCCAATCTAAACAATGTATTGCCCTTTCTTACAAATTTGATGTCAGGAATTAACATAAGGGATATCAGGGTAGGGTTGGGTAGGGTAGGGTAATAGGGGGTGGGGTACCCGGTAGAAAATCTGGACCCGGCCCAGCCCTAATGCACACTGATACTGACAGTGGATATGTGCCTCTGCATCTATGCATTCAAATCTACTATATTCCTGAAATATCTTCAGAGTTTGGAGAAGATTCTGAGAAGTGACCTTAACTAAAAACTGCATCACCCAAAAGGTATTCTTCTATGTGGAAACAGTGGCAACAGTTGTATTCATTCTCTCACCATCCAGGCAGGATTTACACGAAGATGTTTGAAAAAGAAAGCCTAACCAAGTAAAAAATGAATGAAATATTTGATTTCACTGAAGAACATAAATTAAATCTTTCCTCTTAATATGCTCATGGCTAATAAAACAAGAAATTTAGAGCAAGGATATATATCTGTAACATTTTATTTTGTATCCTCTCTCTATATAAAACTTTCATGTGGGTTTACAGCTAACAGCAACAATTGTGACAAATGTTATGGTTTGTTGTGAATTTAATTATTGGAACAACCTTCTTAAGGAGCAAGAGCAAGTTTGAAAGGTGATAAAACACTAATATACAGGTGTAAATAAAGACAGTGCAAACATTTGGCAAAAGGTTCTTGAGCTTGGTCATCTTCAAAATCTTCCCTTTTCACTCATCATAGCCACAGTACCGTTTTTGATCATGTCATACGTCCAAAACTTGAAAGTGTGAAAAAGAAAACTGAGATATCAGCCACTTGACCAAGTCTGATCGTTTCCGTTGGAAATACTTCATATCTTCATCTTTGTGAAGTTTGAGATTTGTGCAAAAAGGGACTTTCTCCCATCTTATGATTTTCACATATGTAATATGTGATAGGTGAGCTTCAGAGCCCTGTTGCTTGTACTAGCACCTGTACTGTACTGCAGGTATTGCCAAGGCCTTCAGTGAGGAGACCTACCCACACCCACAGTTGGTGGAGCTGATAAAGGGATACTTCGGGACTGATGACCTGACTTCCCCCAAAATGAAGATGGCTTTTGTAAGCAGTAATTTAGAAATGACTATTAAAGGTGCCAAATAATAGTTGCATGGTTTTGTATCGCTTTATGATTAGGCCAGACCAATTTTATTTCTTGTTTTACAGATCCGCCAGTCATATTTTTTTTAAGAATAAAAACAAAAATAACAATTATTTTTCCCCACTCAAAAAATAAAATCCTCATGTTTTTATTGGACAAAAATGTAAACTTACCCCAAAAAATTTTTGGATTGCATTTTGCCCGATATACACTTCATAAATTGCCAAAAATACATACTTTTAGTATTTGAAAGGGATTTTACTTTGGTGATTTTCATTTTTTATGTTTTTCCCTCCTGCCTTTAGGTTTTCTGAGGACAAAAATCTGTAGAACAAGAAACAAAATTGGTCTGGCCTTACTTAAAATCAAAATTCAAACTATGACATATGTAACTATTTTTTCCAGCATTCCAGAAAGCAAAAGGGCATTCCCTGCACAGGGATGAGCTATAAATAGAATAAATATAATTTACCATGGATAGAATGCTCAACATCTATTGAAGATGCCACAAAACAAAGACTGCTTGGAACCAGTTGATATGACTGATTTACTTCAGTACTTCCTCTTACATCAAGCTGTCATGCTGTGATAGTAATATACTGAGTCTAAAAAGAAACTTCACAAAATGTAATTTGAAAAATAATGAATAATTTTTCTCTGATGATACATCTATGTATCCGAAATGGGATCCCTATCTTTCGACTCTAGAAAAACGTTAGCAAAACCCACTCAAACCCATCCATTCGTCGTGCAAATGACGTTAGTGCCAAATCAGGTTTTGCACGTGCAGTCGATCACGTGATTGTCGCATCGAAGTTTTCTTCATTTGCACATGTTTGCATTGGCCTCAAGAATTGAAAAAACACTTTTAAACCACAGTTCTAACGGTACTTGAAATGCCACGATTGTCAAATGTGCAACGGAACGGCGCCGCTGGCATGTTGCAAGCTGGAAGATCAGTTATTGACGCCGCAAGAGCAATGGGATGCAGCCGCCGCGACTGTGTATGACTTGCGAGGTCGCCTACAACAAACTGGCACCACTTCTGATCGCCTAAGGTCGGTCGCCCACGCAGTGACGCCACGAGCAGAAGACCGCCAATCGCCCTACGCCACCTACGTGACAGATTTCTGCCGGCTACACCTAACCAGGGCTGAGATGTTTAGAGGTCGACTGTCCTCACAGACCATTCGAAATCGGGTTATGGCTGCCAATCTCCATTCTCGACGCCCATATCGGGCCAATATTGACGCCGCTTCATCAACGCCAACGCCTGCTGTGGGCCCAACGCCACCTCCGATGGACCCAGAGAGACTGGAATCGAAGTCATCTTTAGCAATGAATCCAGGTTTACCCTCAGATTCGCTGGACGGCAGGCATAGAGTCTGGAGACGACGCCGCGGAACGGTATGCCCAATGTTGTGTACAGGAAGTCCCACAGATTTGGGGCGGAAGTTGCATGGTGTGGGTGCTTTCTGTGGGAACAACCGCTCCCGACTTCTGGTCATCCGTGGAAACCTCACAGCTGCTGCTTATCGCACACCAGGTGCTCACCCCTGAACTCGTTCCTTTCATGGCGCTCATGGCCCAGGTCTACAGTTCCAGCATGATAATGCTCGGCCGCGATACCGCGATGTTGACACGAAATTTCCTTCAAAACGCTGGAATCAACGCCATGGACTGGCCATCGAGGTCCCCTGACCTTAATCCAATAGAGCACGTTTGGGATGCACTTGGGAGAAGGCTTCGTGGTCTTAGGAACCAACCTCAGAATTTGCAGGAACTTGGCGCTGCCTTGCAAGAGCAATGGCACAGAATCCCCAACCACGCGGTTCACAAGCATCAGGCAGTCGATGAGGAGACGGTGTTTGGCAGTGGTGAATGCAGCGGGGCGGCCATACACTATATTGAACTGAGAAATTTCAAGATTTTTATTCTTGTGACTTGACATTCTGTATACCCATGTTTTGGAACGGCGGTGTAGCCTAATGGAACTGATTATGGCACTGTCAGTGTATCGAGTACATCACACAGATCTCAGCAATGAAATAATAACAATTTAACCATCTTACCATCTCTTGTTCTTTTATAGTGCCCTGAAGAAAGAATGTGAAGTTTCTTTTTTGACTCAGTATAATATCAGATCCCGAAGTCTGCTACCTTGAAGTACGGAGTCAACAAAATCACTGGCAAGAAGGCCTTGTACCCCTTGGTGTCAGTGAAGAATGTGCACATGTTCCCAGGAGTACCAGCTCAACTGGAGAGGGCCTTCCATATGTTAGAGGTATGTAGAGTGTGGAGAGGGCCTTTAATATTTAGGTGTAAAGGGCCTTTAATATTTAGGGTGTAGAGAGCCTTTAATATTTAGGGTGTAGAGGGCCTTTGATAAACGTATGTTAAAAGTTTGGAGAGCGGAGAGGAACTTTAATATGATTGAGGTATATAGCATGGAGGGTACTTTGATAGGAGAGGCCATTTTATATGTTTGAGGTATGTAGAGAGGAGAAGGCCTTTGATATGTTGGTGGTATGTAGAGAGGAGAAGGCTTTTATATGTTTTAGGTATGTAGAGTGGAGAGGACCTTTAATATGTTTGAGGTATGTAGAGTGGAGAGGGCCTTTAATATGTTGGTGGTATGTAGAGTGGAGAGGGCCTTTAATATGTTGGTGGTATGTAGAGTGGAGAGGGTCTTTAAGTATATCTAAGAGGGGGCTGTTGTCAATGTTTCAGAAAGAGTTGTTTATGAACCCTGGGGTGGAGTTCCACACCATGGATATGTTCATCAACAAGGATGAAATGACCATTGCTTCAGTCCTCAACCAGGCGGACGAGAAATTCCGGAAGGAAGTCATGCTGGGGTCGTACCCAGTGACACACAACAGGTGAGTTGGTGATGACGGAGGAGGGGGGTGCTTGAGTCATTAGGTGTTGGTAGTCGATCAAAATAAATGGGTCAGGAGTGGGTAGTTGAGTGGGGTGGGTAGTTGAGTGGGGTGGGAGGAGGGAAAAGTAGTTGGGGGGTGTCGGCTAGGGTCGGTTATTTGGGTGTATGAGGGAGATAGGATGGGGCCTGTTGTTGAGTGAGTGAGAGAGTCAGGAAGTGTATTGGTAGTTGGGTGAGTGAGGGACTCAAGAAGTGGATTGGAAGTTAGGTGAGGGAGGAAGTCAGGAAAAGGGTTAGGTCCGCGGGTGAGTGAATGTGACAGCAAGGAGAAGGGTAGTTGTGTAAGTGAGGGAGGGAGTCACCAATATTAACATTTGTGTTATTCACAATATCTTAAATAATTTGACATCTGTACCATGTTTTGACCAAGTTCATAAATTATTAAAATCCAAATTTGACTTGATTTCTCTGAAATTGCCCAACTAACAAGCTGAACTTTGACAGGTCTGTTTGAATTATTACAGTGAGGCCTTCCTCGATATGAGACCAGTGAAGGTCCGGGTTAGAATATTGGGCTTCAGTAACCCATGCTTATCGTAAGAGGCAACTAACGGGATCGGGTGGTCAGGCTCGCTGACTTGGTTGACATCGGTTCCCAATTGAGAAGATTGATGCTCATGGTGTTGATCACTGGATTGTCTGGTCCAGACTCGATTATTTACAGAACGCCGCCATATAGCTGGAATATTGCTGCATGCGGCATAAAACTCTACTCACTCCTCGATATGATTTAAGACATTATTTGAATGTGAATGTTGTTAGAAATGTTTGTTGCTTATATGTTGTTGTCTTTAATAACAACCCATCCAGTAGAGCTACAACACTATTTACTGAGAGACAATGGGCACAGTGAAAATTGTACTTGGTGTCTAAATCCTTGGTTTCTTTATTCTTGTGAGTAAAGCAGATTTACTTTCAGTTACTACAAGGTGAGACTGACACTGGAGTCCCTAGATGAGGACAAACTCGGACAGGTGTGTCAATATCTGACGGAGAGGCTCCCACAAGGTAGGTGTCCAGGACTCATTGCCGTGAAGAGTTCTCTCACTCACTCACTCACTCACTCACTCACTCACTCACTCACTCACTCACTCACTCACTCACTCACTCACTCACTCACTCACTCATGGGTTGCTCACACTTTCAGTCAATGGTTCATGTGGATCATTCCTGATTTACAGCTGGAACAATGCAGAAGAAAATCCACTTACTAACTCACTCACTAACTCACTCACCCATAATATCTGAATAATTTCTGATACAAGAAAATGATGAAGAATGTATTAAGGAACCTTTCTTACACTGGCTGGTCCTTGGCTATCACTGCTTTGTGATACCTTTCTAAAATATGGAGACACCATGTACATAGACTGGTTGTTAGCAGTCATTGCATTGCAACACCTTTATGATACAAATAGACAGATAGTTCAAATGATATGTTTTAGCTCAGATTATCCTTGATTTTATAGCTGTTATCTTTGCACAGATGTTCACATAATAAATCCTTTAGTTGACAATGGTTACAGGTCTTTTGTTAGAAAATATTCCCAACAGTTATTCTGATAAACCCAGAACAAGGCATTTATCCGATATGATAATGCCATATCAGGTACATATAGACATATATCTCATTATTTAACTTTTGTATATTGCACTATATATGTATACATGTGAATCCATTCCATTGTATGCATTGTTTGTATTGTATGCATTGTATGCATTGTGTGTATTGTGTGTATTGTGTGCATTGTAAACATTGTTACATTGTGTGTATTGTGTGTGTTTCTGTCTATTGATGTGTATGGGCACTATATCCCAGCATATGCTTATTAAGATCCTTCTTTTCAATAATGCCCTTTGAAAAGTGTGTCTATTGTTCCTTGAAGTGTGTGGCCAGTGCTTTGTGTTATATCAAACTGTTGAAACAGGGTGTCATATCAGACTATTTCAGTTGTATGGTGAGCTGTTTATCTGGTTCCATACAAGTGATGTCAGTATATGGAGTATTATACAGTGGGGATATTGTGTTGGATCAGATGACAGGCATGTATGTTTACATAATGTATGACAAACAGGTATATCGACATTGTGATATTCAGTATGCTCACACTGTACTATGACATTAATGTAGAGGTTTCATGAATATGTTGATCAAATGTTTAAGAGATCAGAAGAAAAAAGCCACTGATAAAGTGGTGCACTTTTATGGATAGACAACTTCTTTGTTGCAGTAGTAGTTGCAACTGCTACTGCAACAAAGAAGTTGTCTATCCATAAAAGTGCTCCACTTCATCATACCAGCTTCTAAATGCCACTTAAGGAAGCCACTGATAGGTTGGGTTTTTTGGTAGAATTGTATTTTGCTATTTTCTGTAAACAGGAAATAAGTGTACTGACAAAAACCTAGTGATTGAAGGCACACTTACAATAAGATACTTTTTAAAATATAAACAACTGATGTGTTTATAACAAATATTCTTACACTCAAGTAAACTGGACAAAAACACAAGACATGGTAAGATAGAGAAGTGACTTTTGTATATCAACACAAGTCAATACAATTCTGAGGCGTGCCAAGGTGTTTAATGAAACATTTGTGTTGACATGTTTAACATAGTACAATGGTAACATTCTACTTATCATGTCAAAATATTCTACCAACTTTCACAGTTTAAGAACAGCACTATCCAGAGTGCTAAGTATATAAAGGTCCAGGTTAGAATCAATCTTTAGCAATCCATACTTGTAATAAGAGGCGACTAACAGGTTTGGGATGTCCACCACGTTGACTCAGATTCATGCTACCATATCCCAATTGGGTAGATAGATGTTCATGATGTCAGTCCTAGGATTGTCTGGTCCAGATTTGATTATTTACAGACCATCATCATATATCTGGAAAATTGCTGAGTGTGACATTAAACAACAAACAAACATAAGTATAAACAGTACCACAGCCTGCATCGGTGGCAGAGATAAGTGCCTGGTGTGATGTCATGACAACTGGTGTGATGTCATGGCAACTGGTGTGATGTCATGGCAACTGGTGTGATGTCATGACAACTGGTGTAATGTCATGGCAACTGTGTGATGTCATGGCAATTGGTGTGATGTCATGGCAACTGGTGTTATGTCATGGCAACTGGTGTGATGTCATGGCAATTGGTGTGATGTCATGGCAACTGGTGTGATGTCATGGCAACTGGTGTGATGTCATGGCAACTGGTGTAATGTCATGGCAACTGATGTGATGTCATGGCAACTGGTGTGAATGTCATGGCAACTGGTGTGATGTCATTGCAACTGGTGTGATGTCATGGCAACTGGTGTAATGTCATGGCAACTGGTGTAATGTCATGGAAACTGACTGGTGGCAACTGGTGTCATGGCAACTTATGTGATGTCATGACAACTGGTGTAATGTCATGGCAACTGCGTAATGTCATGGTATGTGATGTCATGACAACTGGTGTAATGTGGCAACTGGTGTGATGTCATGACAACTGGTGCACTGTCATGGCAACTTATGTGATGTCATGACAACTGTGTAATGTCATGGCAACTGGTGTGATGTCATGGCAACTGATGTGATGTCATGGCAACTGGTGTTATGTCATGACAACTGGTGTAATGATGTCATGACTGATGTCATGGCATGGCAACTGGTGATGTCATAATGGCCTGAGAGGCTTTGTGATACAATATCCTGTTTGTCATATCTCCGAGGGAAGTAACACTTGAGCTGACACAAGCAATGTCTCCTGTGGAAGCATTAGGATGATCAGTGAACGCTTTTGTTAATGCTCAGCAGATTTCTGGTTTCCCCGCTGTCATTTGCAAGAATATTGCTAAAAAGCAGTGTGAAACCATGGTTCCAGGAGCCCTGTTTGTATGGTGACATTTGCACATGTGTGTATTTTTGCATATATGTAAAGCTTACATGAGTATAATTGTTGCATAAAGCATATACACATAAACAAATCTTTACTAACTACCCCAAGCTAAAATACTCCTGTCTTGGACCCGATGCTAATTTGTTACTACCCGGTGAGTAAATGCTTGTTTCTTGCTACCCTAAGCAAATGTTGTCGTGATGAATGCATAGCAAATTTACTCAGGGTGAGTATTTTTACCGCTTGATTTCATAATGGCTATTTTAGTGGTTTCCCACCTAAACTTTATGCTTCTTATTGGGATGTGATGTCATGACAACTGGTGTAATGTCATGGCAACTGGTGTGATGTCATGGCAACTGGTGTGATGTCATGGCAACTGGTGTAATGTCATGGCAACTGATGTGATGTCATGGCAACTGGTGTGATGTCATCACAACTGGTGTAATGTCATGGCAACTGGTGTAATGTCATGGCAACTGGTGCCATGTCATGGCAACTTATGTGATGTCATGACAACTGGTGTAATGTCATGGCAACTGGTGTGATGTCATGGCAACTGGTGTAATGTCATGGCAACTGGTGTGATGTCATGACAACTGGTGTAATGTCATGGCAACTTATGTGATGTCATGGCAACTGGTGTAATGTCATGGCAACTGGTGTGATGTCATGGCAACTGATGTGATGTCATGGCAACTCATGTGTTAACTGGTCATGGCAACTGAGGTGATGTCATGGCAACTGCTGTTATGTCATGGCAACTGGTGATGTCACAATGGCCTGAGAGGCTTGTGATACAATATCCTGTTTGTCATATCTCCGAGGAAGTAACTCTTGAGCTGACAAGCAATGTCTCCTGTGGAAGCATTAGGATGATCAGTGAACGTTGTTAATGCTCAGCAAGATTTCTGGTTTCCCCCACTGTCATATTGCAAGAATATTGCTAAAAGCAGTGTGAAACCATGGTTCCAGGAGCCCTGTTTATATGGTGACATTTGCACATGTGTGTGTTTTTGCATATATGTAAAGCTTACATGAGTATAATTGTTGCATAAAAGCATATACACATATACAAATTTTACTACCCCAAGCTAAAATACTCCTGTCTTGGACCCGATGCTAATTTGTTACTACCGGTGAGTACATGCTTGTTTTTTGCTACCCTAAGCAAATGTTGTCGTATGAATGCATAGCAAATTTACTCAGGGTGAGTATTTTTACCGCTTGATTTCATAATGGCTATTTTAGTGGTTTCCCACCTAAACTTTATGCTTCTTATTGGTCAGATATCTATCAGTTGATGTCTAGCTTCTATTAAGAACAGACACACGACAATGGCGAACCGGAAAGAAACTCGTGGTTCCAAAAGACGTGGTTCCGCTTGGAATGATGAGGGAACAAACTGCCTATTGGCAATATGGGAAGACAACAGTATAGAGGAATTACTGGAAAACCCCACAGCAGCAATGTTTCGGTGTACAATACTGTCGTGGTGGAGGTGGCTGCAAAAGGATTCAACAGGACATCTGACCAATGTAAAGTGAGAATCCATACCCTAAAGAGGACATACAGAGAGTGTAAATCAAACCTGAAGAAAAGTGGAAAGGGAAGGAAACTTTGTAAGTTTTTTGAAGAACTGGATGCCATTCTTAGTACCAGACCAGCCTTGTCACCTCTGAAGGTTATAGAGACATTGAGGAAGAAAACCGAAGATGAAGAAGGGGATCCTTGTGAACCTGATGACAATACAGCACTGGCGAACACGCAGGTTGTTGGTGACAGTTGTGCTGACATTACACCTCTTGTTGATAATCAAACTGAAAGGGATGAAAAGGAAGCAGAAAGAATAAAAGAATGGCATCCACTGGAGGGGAAAATGAAAAGGCGAAGAGCGAGAAGAAAAGAGCTTGGAAGACAAGGCTGGAAGTAGCACTGAAATCAGTGATGGATGGATTTAATGCTGCAAACGAGAGAGCTGATGATAAGGCTCTTGATTTTGAATGCCAGAAAATAGAACTTGAACCCCCAAAACTTGATGTCGAGAAAGCCAAGATGGAATCAGATGAAAGACAGAAGCGTGAAGAGAGACAGCACCAATTCAACATGATGAGT